CCTCCTCAGAATCTTGATGGTTTCAATACCTCATCAATGAGTTTAAGGATCACTTGGACAGAGCTATTGGAAGATGATCAAAATGGTGTTATCATTGGCTATAACATTTCATACTTTTCTCTACCAGCTGTTGGTCAGCCTATTAACAACTTTACATCTGATACTAGTTATAATATTTCTGGACTTGATGTTTATACTGATTACAATGTATCAGTAGCAGCATACACTAGTGCTGGAACTGGACCATTTGATTCTGTTATAAGGAGAACGGATTCCACAGGTTAGTAATTGTATCGTGTTTAAGTCATCATTATTCATTTTTTTCATAGTACCAACATCTCCTTCGGATGTTAGCTACATCAATATTAGTAGTACTTCAATTGAAGTGTCTTGGAATCCTCCTACTGATTTCAATGGTCCTAATGAAGGTTATGTAATAACATACATTAGGCTGGAGAGTGATACAGAGTCAATGAGTACTAATCGATTGACTGGTACATCATTTGTGATTGAAAACTTAGAGAAATATGAACAATATAGTGTGACAGTAGTAGCATTTACTGATAAAGGACCTGGTGCATCTAGTGATGTGTTATCTGTTTTAACAGATGAAGACTGTGAGTTTAATGTATATTTAACTTTTTATAATTATTTTTGCTCCTCATGCAGTACCTGGCCCACCATCTAATGTGTCAACTATGTCAACTAATACTTCTATTAGTATAACTTGGTCTCCTCCATTGGATCCTAATGGTCTATTGCTCAGTTACTCTATTAATGTCACCCTCAATTCAACTTATGCACAATATCTCTCATTTGATGTTATGACTATGTCAGTGTCTCAAAATATCTTCTCTTACACTTTATTTGACCTCCTACCTTTTGCTGGTTATGATATATCACTTCAAGCTTCTACCTCTGTTGGGCTAGGAACCCCTGCCATTGAAACAGAAACAACTCTACAAGCAGGTTAGCTCAAGCCTCATGGTTGCATTACTATTATCATTAGTTTGTGCTCTAGCAATGATAGCCTTTGGCATAAAAGCTATAATGTCATTCTTGGTTTTTTGTTATTATTTTTAGCTCCTGCTGCTCCTGTTGCTAATCCTATGGCTAGTCCAGTCAGTTCAACAGCTGTTAATGTTTCATGGCTCCCTCCAAATCTATCAAATTGGAATGGACTCATTACTAACTATACAATAGAGTACAGGACCAATGATGAGTACATTAGGCCCTCTATTGAAGTAACTGCTACTTTATCATCATTTGCTAATTCTGATGACCCAAGAGCTGCTACAAGTGAGTATATACTAATAGTTAAAATATAATATGACCTTTTCCTTGCCTCTTAGCTCCATTACAACTTGAGTCTATTATTATTCCAAGTCTTCATGAATTTGTTAATTATTCTTTTATCATTACCTTATCAAACAGCATTGGCCAAATCTCTTCATTGCCAGTTCATATCGTCACGCTGGAATCAAGTAATGTCACATGATTTGTGTCTCGTGTGATATTCTTTTCTCCTATAGCACCTAGTGGGCCTCCTCTTGATGTATCAGTTATAGTAGATAGTCCTTCGACTGCTCGTATTAGCTGGTCACCTCCTATGTATATTGACAGGAATGGAATAATAGTGAATTATACTGTTAGGATTATAACTACTGTTAGAGGGACTATTAGGGAGACTAACATTTCTAATGTATCTGGTAATTATTATGATGCCTCAGGTAAGTGAAAGAATGAGAGATGTGAATTAATGCTTCTTTTTGAATATTTTAGACCTTCCTCAGTTTGCATCATTTAACGTGACAGTTGCAGCTGCTACTAGTGTAGGACTGGGCCCATACTCTCCCTCTGTATCAAACATGACATTTGAAGGAGGTAAGTATATATATATATACCGTAGGTCGGGATATATTCGCGGCTGCTTATTTTCGCGATAATAAAAACTAATAAAAAGGTTCAATTAAATACCATGGAAACCAATCGATTGTTGCTATGACAATAAGACCACGTGTTTATACAATTACAGTGTTCAGCAGCTAATTATCTATTCTTTAGCAGCTTTAGTGGGAGCCATCCGGCTCTCCATCCGCTATCTTCTTGTATCATTTTGTATGGACCACTACCTTCGAGCTCTTTGCTGCAAATCCTTGCCGCTCCACTTGCTGGCGATAATTAACCACGCCCAACTTAATAAATGGGTGGAGAGTCCCAAGAATGGGCCAAGATACGGCGAGGCAGAGTGAAGAGAGTAGCTCTGGTTGAAACAGCTCCAAAGAGACCAAGGATTAGTAACAGCAAGAAGAACAACAGCCCAAGAACACTGCAACAGAGTCCTTTGCTATTAATATCGCGGATTTTTCAATTAAAATTGCATCTGGTAACCATGGTAATTGCTGAGTGCGGGAAAAAATCGCGAAAATAAGCAGCCGCGATTATATCCCGACCTACGGTATATAATCACAGCTGCTATACATGTACATGTATACTAAATTACTAATGGATATTAAGGTCCATATACTATACTGTGTTATAATTATTACTCACTCTTGTAATTCTGTTTCTTGTAGTACCATCAGCCCCTGATCCTGTAATTGTAAAGAGAAGGAATGATACAGCCATACAGGTTAATTGGACTAGACCAGCTGAGCCTAATGGAATTATATTAGGCTACTTGATTTATTATATTGGAACTAAAAATAATACTGGCACTGTAAGATAAAATAATAATGTAATTAAATCTCAATTTATATTATTTTGTCTTATTTTTTAGGAATATTCAAATATCAATGTTCTTATTATTATCAATGTGACTGATCCAAATACACTCTCTTATCTGATCACTAATCTCCTTGCTGATACACAATATTTCATCAACGTTAGTCAGACAATTATTTACTTCTTTATTATTATTATTATTCATTATTATCATTATTTATTTATTCATAGGTAACGGCTTATACTTCAGCAGGTCTAGGTGCAGTTGGAGATGGTGATTCTATTCTATTACCCACCGGAAGACGTAAATACTAATCATCATCATCAGTAGCAATATATATCATATTCTCTTTTCCTTTCCTCTAGCTCCAACAGTACCACCTAATGTTACTATAGGAACACCCCCTACTGGTGGCACCAGTGATCCCACAACTGCCACAACGATAAGAATAGAAGTCACAATACCAGAGGAACTTAATGCTAATGGTCCACTGACGAGGATTCGTATATTGATACGTATTTTTCTATCTCGAAATGATACAATATCCACCTGGTATGAGAGTCAAAAATTCCCAAATTCTGTGGCACCACCATGGCAGGCGACTCAACTACCATTAAATCAAGGAAATAGGAGGAAGAGACAGGTTTCTATAGCTATAATATTCATTATTATGCTGCTTAATTACCTCCTCTCTCTAGGCTGGCGGTGAGACTGTAGCTGAGACCATAGGTACTAACAACTCGTGTGGTCCTAATGACATCGTTTGTAACGGCCCATTAAAACCAGGGACCCAGTACCAGTTCAAGTACAGGGTGTATAATAGTGATGATGATGATTCCTATGTGGAGAGTCAGTACTCTGGCCCCATTAGAACAGGTAGTGCACTTTGCAACTGTTGGTAAACATAATTTTACTGTATATATATATATACAGTATATGCTGTGACTTGAACCATCTCTCTTATTATTATTATTATTATTATTACTATTATTATTATTATTATTATTATTATTATTATTATTATGTCTCCTCTCTCTCTCTCTCTTCTCAGATCCAATAGCTGAGGAAAATAATACTGGTACAACAATAGTGATTGCAGTGGTTGTGGTTCTATTGGTCATTATATTATTGATTGCTATTCTTGTTATTGTTGTTATTATTGTCCTTAAGAGAAGGAAAAGAAAAGCATACTCTTTTGCTGCGTAAGCAATTCATTCATTAATAACTACCAATTAATATAACTCCTAATGAATATTAATAAAGCACTGATAAACAAAAATGGTCATTGTAATGATTTTTCTCTTTCTTTTGTCTCTCCCTCTTTCTCTTCCTCCCTCTCTTTTTCCCTCGACCTCTTCCCCTCTCTCCTTTCCTTCCCCCTCTCCCTCTAGATCCTTCAACGGTAAAGAAGAGCTCATCACAGCTGGTGAAGGAAAGGGAGCCACTTTATCTAAAGCAATTCAATTAACTCCGACAGATCCAACCATAGTCCCTCTTACTGAAAACACTATTGTTAATCCGACCGCTGTGAGGGTGAGTCCCTGTCTAACGAGAACTTAATTACTTTTTAAAATTAGACGGCTTCTGTCAAAGCCACACCCAACTCTCGTAAAGTGTACTTGAGGGATTTCCCAAGCTACGTTGAGGACATGCTTAATGATGCTGGATTTAAGTTCTCTGAGGAATACGAGGTAATAGGAATTAAATATTTATTTTAGCATTTAACTTAAGGGCATCAGGAAGTATAATAAATTAGGGGTGTTTCCAGAGCCATTTTGTGGAAAAAGTATAGGCTATAGTACAGGGTATTTTTTAGAAATTTTTTAAAATTGCCCATAACTTGAAAAATTGAAGTCGGAATCAACTCAAACTTGCTACACAGGTTCAGGACATCAATGTGTATCAGAAAATGTAATAAAAATTGGGGGTGATTTTGGAGCCATTTTTTGGAAAAAACCATGGGCTATAGCCTTGGGTATTTTTCAAAAATTTTGGAATTTTCTTAAAATGGTCGTAACTCGAAAAATTAAAGTCGGAATCAGCTCAAACTTTCTACACAGCATAAGGACATCAATATGTATCAGAAAATGTAATAAAAATTGGGGGTGATTTCGGAGCCATTTTTGGAAAAACCATGGGCTTATAGCCTTGGGTATTTTTCAGAAATTGGCTCATTTTTTATAATGGCCGTAATTTGAAAAATTGAAGTCGGAATCAACTCAAACTTTCTACACAGCATTAGGACATCAATATGTATCAGAAAATGTAATAAAAATTGGAGGTGATTTTTGAGCCATTTTTTGGAAAAAACCATAGGCTATAGCCTTGAGTATTTTTCAAAAATTTTGGAATTTTCTTAAAATGGCCGTAACTCGAAAATTAAAGTCGGAATCAGCTCAAACTTTCTACACAGCATAAGGACATCAATATGTATCAGAAAATGTAATAAAATTTGGGGGGGATTTCGGAGCCATTTTTTGGAAAAAACTATGGGCTATAGCCTTGGGTATTTTTCAGAAATTGGCTCATTTTTAAAAATGGCTGTAACTCAAAAAATTAAAGTTGGAATTAGCTCAAACTTTCTACATTGCATAAGGACATCAATATGTATTAGAAAATTCAATAAAAATCTTTCATTTTTTCGGAGCCATTTTTTAAAAACCATGAGCTTTATTTTTAGAACTCGGCCCATTAAAATATACTTATAACTCAAAAAATTTTAGTCCAAATCAGCTCAAACCCTGTTGGTATATATATATATATATATATATATATATATATATATATATATATATGTACATGTATATGTACATGTATCATCTATTTTTATATTTATAGAAAGTATCAGCTGTTGGACTAGATCATTCTAAAGATGCGTCACTCCTTCCTGAGAACAGAGCTAAGAACAGATACACTAATATATTGGCCTATGATCACTCGAGAGTCAAACTTGAGAGCATCGACGATGAACCAGGATCAGATTACATCAACGCAAACTACATACCAGTAAGAGATGCGTGTAATCACATAATAGTGATAAATATTGGCAACCTCAATAGAGGATGTTGGCTGACCTTTTCTCTATCTTCAACTCTAATATACATATATCCCTTTATACTGTATAGCCACTTCATTTTGGGGGTATATAATTTTTGCGGATTTTCCGTATCCACAAAAGTTAATTCCATAAAATTATCCATATCCCCATATAAACACGTGTGCTTTAAAATAAGAACCACGAAAGTTAATTCGTGAAAAAAGACTTGTAGCCTGATTTGCGAAAGTTTTATTGCCTTGAAACTTTGTGGCTATACGGTAGCTTCTTTCACTTTTGTCAGCTTTAAAAAATTTTATGTATGCATGTATTTTTTTCTCTCTCTCAGGGTTACAGGATGCGTAGAGCCTATATTGCAACACAAGGACCTTTACCATCAACCTTTGATGATTTCTGGAGGATGACATGGGAACAGAATTCGCACGTTATTGTAATGCTGACTCAGCTCGTTGAAAGAGGAAGGGTGAGGAGATTGTAATAATAATATTTTTATTTATTGTTTTATTGTTTGTTCTAGACGAAATGTCATCGCTATTGGCCCGGAGCACAGCCGGAAGTTTATGGAGAAATAAACGTAGACATGTTAAGCGAGACTGAGAAGAGTGACTGGATAGTGCGGAAGTTCAAGATCACAAAAGTAAATCAGCTAATTAAAAATAGTCAATATTATCATAATATCATCACATTGTAATTTAAAGGAGAAGAGAAGCCGTACAATAACACACTACCAGTTTGTATCATGGCCTGATCATGGAGTCCCCGATGAAGCCGGACCTGCTCTGGATTTTGTACGGGAAGTACATGAAGTAGCTTCATCAGCTTTCGGACCTGTTATAGTCCACTGCAGGTAATAACACTATGACCCTCTTTCTCCTTCATTTTGACCTCCTTACTTCTTATATAATTTCATTTAAACTTATCTCTCTCTTTTTCTTTTAGTGCTGGTGTAGGTCGTACAGGAACATTCATAGCACTGGGTACACTGCTCCAGCATATTAAGGACCATGACTGGGTTGACCTCTTTGGACTGGCTAGTGAAATGAGACAGCATCGTAACCACATGATCCAGACCGAGCCTCAATACGTCTTCATTCACAAAGCAATGGTTGATGCTTGCAAGAGCAGCATGAGCAAGTTTGGTGGTGGCATTAAAGTATTACCCAGTTTTCCAATTTACTCGAACAGTAAGAGATAGGAAAAGAGAGAGAGGGAGGAGAGAAAAACTTTAATCATAATATTTTTTTGCCTTTAGTTGGTCCTGCATCACAGCTGAGCGATTTTTATGGTGACATGCTAAGCGAAGAGGCTTCCTATCAATACCAGAAGACTTCAGGAAATGGAAAAACTTATGATGAATCAACTTTCTAAATTATTATTATATTATTCATCAGTACCTCATAATCATTTCACACGCATTATTATTAATATTATTATTATTATTGTGTATCACAGTCTTACATATTTACTAATGTCTTTTCCATGTCTCCTACTTAATTCATTTTGTGTTTATTTTTGTTACTGATCGTGCCATATTATTATATAGCGTTATCATTATTGTAGTGAGTATTATCAAGATTATGTAATTTTTGTTGTCAGATCATTTGTTAAAAGTCATATTATTTATGTGAAATAGTGATAATGTTTATAAGATAAAAACACCTGGTTTCATTTTTGAATGCTACTATATTATAGTTTTAAATTTCAATTAAATAAAACTAGAAAACGATAGCACATGACATCATGTACTCTTAAAAATATTACAAAAATGAGACTCAATCAATGATAACATTTATAGCCAAAATGGCTTCAATGTCCATCAAAATTCAAAATGATTTTAGTTTCTTTTTCTCTTCCTTTTTGTTGGTATGCTAGCTACAAGAAAAGAGGAAGAAGACAAAAATGGAGACAGATCTTCAAGGGAAGAGGACGAAGAGGGAAAGGATGGGGATATGGGATTATTGAGGTAATTAGATTGAAACAGCCAAGCTCGTTGACAGTGCAATAAATCATCAATTGGTATGTATTTATATCCATTATATGAATCTTTTAATATCCATGAGTCGGGGATCAGTCTTGGACGCCAGGTCACGAGGTATTCTGTTTCTGATTTGCTTTTAAAAGTATTCCTTTGACCAACAATCTGTTAAAATGAAAGCAAACATTCTCATATTGAAACCAAAAGTTGATTATAATCTAAAATTAATGGATTTTGTAAACGTAATATCAAATAACAATAACAGTACAATAATTTAATTTTGCATACCTCTCCTTTTAATGTAATCACAGTTTCTGGTACTGATCCAGCAGTTTTACCATTTGATGATGTTTCTTCTTCAGCTGCTACTGATGACATGTGTTGAGATATCAGTGATTTCCTGATCACTGATAACGTTCTTGAATCAACTGGATCACTATGTATCAATCCACCTGAGAAAAGAGATCAGTATTAAGTTATGTTGAACCAGAGATAATTTAATATGGCTGAATTGATTATGTGGCTGAACACACACACACACACACTCACTAATCTTTACCATTTATAGCCAATGGTTGAGGTGGGTTTAGACTACCTCTAGCATTAAGATAGTGTTTATGAGTCTGTGATTTCATCGCATTATCACCATTACCACTAGCAGAGTCTGTCTCATCAGTAGTCCCAATAGAACAAAGACCATCTCCATTTTTAAGACTCTCCTTCCCTGCTGTGTGCTCACTGCCAGCAGTATTTATATCTTTCTTTTTTTTCTTTGAGATAGATGGAGATGGTGAGGGTAGTAAATGCAGTTGGAGGTGATGGTGCAGTGCATCTAGTGACCAGAAGGACTGATTGCAGCCATTCATTATACACTTGTGTGGTCTCTCCTTCGTGTGTCGTCTCATATGCTGCCCGAGCCACTGTTTCTTTTGGCAGGGAACGTTATAAACCTTACAACCTTCCCAGAGACACATGACAAAGTCTTGTGAAAGGAGAGGGTCGACATGAAGTGATTTAACATGATCCACAAGTTCCTGGACTGTCTCAAACGGCTCAGCCGTGCAACCAGTCCATTTGCAGCAGTTTTTACTCTCTTCTCCTCTTCTTCCCCTTGCCTTTGGGATAGAAGAAGGCAGGAAAGATGCCATTGCTGGTGGTACGAGCCACCCCTACTACTAATAACTAGCCGGGCAGTAACATAGCGCGGGCAATGGCGGCAAAATTGGTTAAGTAAAAGAGGTGTGGTTATTGCCAACCACACCCATCTAGTTATTAAGTCTTAAGATGGCTACCAAAACATAAGAGGTGCAAAGTTCATCCGTTTAACCTTTCCAGCTTTCCTGTATCCTTTGTGACGGCTACCTTTGCACTGGTTCCACGTAATAGATCACACAAGTCTATATAGTAGAAGAGAAGAAGCAGACCTGTCCATTTTATCTACTTTGACTGTAGACCAACTAATTTCTGTTACAGCTTCTTACATAATGTCTTCAGAAGGTCCTTCACATAAACGCTGGGTCCCTCCTCCTCGTCCAGTGGTAGAAGAATCTAAATTCTGGCGGAAAGCAAAGCAGAACCCACTCGTACCAATAGGTATAACCCCGGTTATAACAATGATTAATTATAATTTATTTATTATTTTTCCTCAGGTTGTATCGGTACTGTGGGTGTACTTTGTATGGGTCTCCTCTCATTCAAGAGAGGGAATGTGGTCATGTCACAGAAAATGATGCGTCTTCGTGTCTTATTTCAAGGAGGGACAGTACTTGCTCTTGTAGGGGGCATAGCCTTAGAGGCTAAAAATCACTGACCACACCTACAAACTATTAATGCTAGCTATGCTAATAATAATAATTAATTTATCATAACATATTCACTATCACTCGATATTTATTTTGCTATGTAGTTGATTAATTAAATTTTTTGAAATGTTGGATTCCTCATTTCCTGTTGACCGTAAATAGTGAATAGCGTTAACTGACAATGAATAATAATTAAACTGAATTTATAATCTAACACAGCATTCCAGAGGGGGCAATGTTCAGAGGTCATGATGCTCCAGCTCATTAAGTTATTATAACGTATCATAATCTCGACCAAATAATTTGTGCTATGCATGCAGACTTTTATTTAAATACTAAATTAAAAAAAATTGACATTAAACTTTATTTTCTATTTTGTCACTGTGTTCCTGCTGTGTTGTTGGTAGTATTGGTTCGGGTTTCTTTGGAGGCTGATAGCTATAAAGGAATGTAGCTCCTATGACCAATACTGTTCCAATACCAAATTTACTACATAAAGAATAAAATGAAACAAAATCTTGCTAATAAAATTAGGATGCTAAACACACAAAGGTACCACTAATCAAAAAATTAAAAACTGTAGGTGTTAAAGATAATTTAAACGAAAATAATATTGCTTAGTACACATATTACTTTATATTTCTATAATACCCATAAATAGGATTGGTTTATATAGTTTTATAATAAACATAAACTGATAGCAGGCCCCACAAACAGAGGAGCAGTGAGATTATTATGAGCTAAAGATAAACAACATGACAAGTGCTTAGTAATGAAAGCAAAAATGAGCTAAATCACAAAGATATGAGTGACTTCTTTTGGGACAACAATAAAAGATGGCCACAATACTGAAAGGTACAATTGTATTCAAACAAAGATACTGCTAGAACTTTCTTCCTTCACAAGAACAGCATCCATCATTATACAGATGCTTTATTTGCCGATATTACTTCTACTGTAACATTTCCAATGCAATGACATGTATATTCTTACATGGTGGGATCAAAGTCTCCCAGGAAGAAATAGGAGAGAACAGATGACACAACAATGGAAACAGCAGTAGCAAAACCTTTTAGAATATTGTCAGCATATTTTATGACAGTAGCAACAATAAGACCACCTAAAGCCTTAAAGAAAGAGAAAACAAAAATAATAAATAAAGATAGAGGTGTTATTTTTAAGTGAGCATGAGATTTGAAAAAAAAATCAAATTAAATTAAGATATCTGATGAATACACATTAAGGAGGCAACCTTGTAACTGCCACCCACTAACATGACACAAAGTGTACACACACGTCATACTATATACCTGTAGTGCAATGACAGTCCACACCACTATATTATAACCTTGAAAGAACCCATCCTTCATCACTTTATTGTAATCAGTGACAAATACTGCCATTAGACCAAAAACCAGTCCCAGTATACCTAGTGAATAGCACAGGTTGAGTGAAAATGAGGAATACAATGAACTCTTGAATGACTGTAATTATCAGTTGTAGTTGTACACTTGAAATGATTCACAAGAAACCACCTCTTATCATCTTCATCCCCTACCTAGCTGGATGTTCCTAATCCATATAGATGTCTCTGATCCTTTTAGCATCTTCTCAAAGTACACACCACTGAACCCACTGCTAACACAAGCCAACAGGACAGCAACCAGCCCAACTAACTTCATCGAATTAGTTGAGTTGGTATTGGTACTACTTTCTGAACCTCCTGATGGCCACTAAAGAAGAGCAAATTAAAACCATGCAATCAATAAAGTACAAAAGTTTCATATATAATAATTAAATTTGCCAGTCTATGGGTAAAATTAGTATTCTTCCATTAATTACTATGTTTTTGGTATGACTCTGAGGTTAGCATGTCATGTCAATAATAGTGGAAATTGAAGTGATTCCATTCAGCACTAGGCTGCTTCTATATTCACCACCTAATCTCCTTATCTTGAACTTATAAATCCAGTCACTATAGCTCTAGTGTCTCTGTCTGATATGTATGGCATCACTTCCCACTATCTCCAAACCATGGACTTATCAAAATTCAATTAGCACAAAATAGAGTAAAGATTGGAAAGTGGAAATTGTCACCTCTCCCACACTCTCCCCTCCTTTACCCCTCTCTCAATAAACAATCACACAATGTACATGTACAAGTGGATATTGATAAACAAACAAAATACATACAAACATGTACATGCATAGGCTTCATAAAATAAACTTATTATGAGGTACTACACCTTTCTTAACTAACCTGTACTAGTGCCACTGCTAGTGTGAGCATACCCAGTGCCAGCCACTGGCTCTTTAGTATCTGCTTACGAAGAAGAGTTACAGCAAATATAGCTGTTGTCAATATTTTCAATTGATATGTAACCTAGCCGGAATAAGAAAGGAAGTGTCATTTAGCAAGTATGAGATGCTAAGTGCAAAAGATTTTAATCTTTGCAAACTCCAAGTAAAGTAAAGGAAATAAAAAGCTAATCATAATTCATAATTAAAACACAATATAAATACTAGTATAATTCTCATAATCCCATAAAGCTCAATGATTGACCAATGAATGGGCATACACTATAATAGTACAGTACTTGTGTAGCTACTGTTTACTACTGAAAGTTAACAATCATTGATATCGTTCAAATCTAAACTCTGTGTGTTCCAACTAATAACAGAATACACAATGTGCAGTTGCATATAGATATACACACTAATAAATAATGTATAAAATAATGTTTATGCAGAGCCTGAACTAACAGTCAGGGACTGGATGTTTTCCAACTATATTTCTCAACTGTCCAACAAAATTCTGTGTTGTTCTACTATTTTTCTGTTTGAAAAACTAATTAATTATTTAACATAATAATCAATTAATCATGATAGACAGCAGGGTTTCCCCACAGAGCATGCTAAGTGAGCTACTTCATAACAATATAGCTAGTACATGGCATTTTCAGCAACTTTAAAAATTCATAAAAAAATCCAATTTTGATTGGAATCAGTTCAAACTTTCTACACAACATAAAAACATCTATATCCATCAAAAAATCATTAAAAATGGAAAATTCCCTCATTGTGATTTTTGTCAAAATACACAGGGTCTTTGACCCAATTTTCAAGTACTTTGACAATACACTGACAAAAAGCTATGCCAATAAATTCCTGAGGAAAACCCTGTCATATCAAACTAAGCAAAAGACATTTATGCTTTAAAATTTTAAATTATTGTAGTTCATATTACAAGTTCTTATTGTTCAATTGCACAATACAAGTGGATTATTCACTATTAATTTATTATTATTATTTACGAACCTGGAATGTAGCTGCATCTAAATTGGAGAGAGCAACGTAGAGGAGATTATTCTGAACAGTATAAAGGAAGGAGGGAATACAAACTTTTAACGTCTCGATATATTTATCAATAATCTCTGTCTTTAGCTCTCTCAGAGTTATCCCTATCTGCCAACCGTTACCATTCAAAACTAGGAAAAAACAGGTCACAAATTTTGTGATCTCGCTGAGTACGACAGCTGTAGACGAGAGGTACCGAGGGCCCTCCATGGTACGAGAATATCGCATGACCAAGACCATACTAGTGTTTTGTACTACTAGGACTATCAGACTCAGGTACTTGAGATTAACCCCCACACCCCCACCAGCAGACTTCATCTTTAAACATAAAAAAGACAGTGTGTGGTAATTGAGTGCCTGGGCATGCAAGCCATTCTGTGTACTTGTTATGTGTTATATGTACATAGGCTTGTAATGGGGTAGGAAAACTTTAAATACAGTGCTTCAATTAACAAATTAGAGTAGATAGGGGAACCCCAGTGGCAATGCATTACATGGACCTCTTCGCAAACACAAGACTTATTATTATAGAGGCTGTTTAACCAAATTATCATACCGTTTCAGTCTTTTGATTCACTCCACTCATGACCTGCAGGGATACAGAAACTATTCCAATAATTTTCCACAAGAGGGTGTGCCTATTGAAAGAGGCGTGGTTTTACAAAAATTCAAAATGGCGGGCGATGAGTGCTCAATTCTTAATTTATTAGTTATTCTTCTTCTCCGTCTTATTAGTTCTTATTATTATCATCATTTAAAAAGTTTAGGAGAAATCTGATGATATCATAACATTAATTGTTCTCTAAGCCCAGGCTTAATTGGTGTTATACTAAGATCAGTTAAATCATAATCTTCTATGATCAAATCGACTCCACAGAAAAATAAAAAGCATTTCTCTTTGAAGCAAAAATTGCAAAAAGAATGCAAAAGGCCACACTGGCCGCACTGTAATCTGCATGCATTGTTCGTATCTATGGATGCACGTGAAGTGCATGAATCAAATCATCCAGCGCACATGATATACACGAGTTGACATGCCCATATCCTCTAATATCAGGCTAGATATTGAATTCCATCCCTCCTTCAGCTTCACAACAGCCCCGTTTTTTATATAAGGCTGGAGAGGGTGTCCATCCACCAGTCTCTCGTCTCATCTAGAAAAGACGACAGATAACTCCCTCGCTATCTCGTTGACTCTACTTCTTTCCATGATTTGAGAGACGGAATGGCAGTTGCCCTCTCCGCGTCTTCTTCTAGTCATCAACAGTTCTCCTGTAGGACGTACACGTCAACTTCTCCCACCTATACAACGAGGGGGCCCTCTTCTTGCAGTTCAGCCGACGTATCCCCTTACTCTTTGCCACTAGCACCTCAGTCTACTACTGGCAGTAGTTTTGGGCGCTACCAAGAAGAGAGGAAAATGGAGCGAAACACCACTTCTACACTCAGCCTCGAGGCCATCGCAAGCTTTTTTAAACAATCCGAAGAGGTCGATTCCTTTGGCGAACTATCACCTCCTCTTCGTTCGTATGGTTTCTCTGCTATGAGAGAGCAGAATAAGCCCAAGAAGAGAAAGGCCCAATCATTCCCAAGGATCAATGCTACCACTCAACAGCAGTCAGCCCTAGTCCATAGATCTAAGCCTCCTGTTCGTAGGAGCAGGAGCGTAAGATTTGCTGATACACAGGGGCTCCCTCTAGAAAGAATACGACCGTTAACCTCAGCCGATCCGTTCCAGACTGAAGGAGAAATCGTTCCTTCGCTGACTAACGACCTTGGAGCCTTAACGATCGATAAACCACCGTCACCTCAGTCTTCTCCCGGGACTCCAAAGAGAAACAACACGCATAAAAACCACACTAGACATTTCAAGTTCTCTCAACCCGGGACTCAACCACACTTCTATCAAAGACTGCAGAGACTAAAAGTGAGCCTCGAGAGTATAAAATCAGAGAATAGAGCACTCCACGGCATTGTACGGACATTAAACCTTAGCTACGAGAAGCACGTGTTTATCAGATGGACTCACGACAACTGGAAATCCTACCACGACACCCTATGCGTCTATTGTCCAGGGTCATCAAGCGATGGACTTACAGACAGGTTCTCATTCACAATCCCAGTAAACGGCGATGACATACAATTTGCTGTGCTGTATAGAATGCCTGACGGATCCGAAAACTGGGATAACAATGACTCACAGAACTATATAGTAGTAGCTAGAGAAAGTTAGAGCCATTTTAGTGAATGTATTGTATAAATGCTGTATAGTTTCTTAATCACACAACACTTTTCATTTTCATTTTATGTTATCCTCTCTCTCTCTCTTTCTGCCAGCACTACATGATGTGTACATTATCAAATATTATTTTAAATTTTCTGTCATTCAGCATTATAGAAATGAGAATACTAGAAAACTGTCAATCAATTCATTAGTTACATTCAGGGCTGGTTTGATTGTGTTTATGCTAAAACAAGATAAGGTCTGTTTACAGTCATGTACATGGCTTCAGTCTTTATCATAATAAACACTAGGTAATAATAACTATCATAAGAGTTTTGCAGAGCCTTCTCTAACGAGTTCTGAGACTGATTCGTAAGGCAGGACAACTTGCGAACCTTCTTCAACATCTAGCGTTACACTATAACTAGGAGGAAGACGGGAGAGTTAATGGCATTCAAGATATGGCATGAAATCTATTATTAAAAGGTTAATTGGGTACAAATCTAGTAAGGCATAACAGCGCAAGGGTAAAGTACAAGTCTTAACCAAACAGTGCTTACGTGTATCGTGTGAGTTACAGTGTATCGTGTGATGTAGAGTGTATTATCGTGCATTGATGTACAGTATGACAAAGCTATTTTATGCTATCACTATTGTAATGACAATACAAGCTAATAGTGTAAAAATAATTGCGTAATGATAGTAGCAAGACAAAAACACGACTAATATGGAAAGGAGAGAGAGAAAGAGAGAGAGGAGGGGGATAAAGAGAGGTATTAAACCTACCCAGAGACTTTAATGGTTATGTTGCTTTTCCTCTCCAGGGCCCTCATAAATACGTATCTTGTGGTGTCGGGTTTAAGGGCTACAAATAAAATAAGAGTCATTCATGTATCCATAATCACACCATAACATCACACTTTACACTTCAACTGTAAATGAGATATAAATTCCAATAAGAATACTTATCATGTTAATGAGACATTAATGTACTTCAGTACAATAATAGCATGACACCTCTCACTGTGGATTGCACCATATTGCAGCCATGAAATTACATGTGAAGTGCACATGCATAGATCTATGGTTTTAGGTATCTTTTTAAAAGACCTCAGCATGTGAAGAGCACATGCTAAACATGCTCACACAAAAACAAGTGCACTGTACTACTATAATCGAATTTCAACAATAGGCACATGAATATAATTAACAAAGGTCAGCTGGGGTACAATATAGAGGACAAATACATTTATACACTCTCTTTGACCATAGCTGGTTGTTTCTAAGAATAGATAATGGTACCACTGACATGTACACACATTATTATGTACATGTACTTAATGTATATGTACATGTACTTAAAGCATAGCGACAATACTGATATACGTGATTACAAAGTGGGTATGTGAAGTACATACTTGCTTTCCTTTTATTGATGTCTTGAAAGTTGGTTGGTAAATGCTGTAGCACGACTTCCTTTAAGTGTGTGTCAAGGTTGCTTGCAAACCTATCGATGACAGCAAGACATAAAAAGTACACTTTCTTGTACTCTGCATTAAAAATGAATTGATACTAGCTTATGATAGCATATTAGCATATCAATAAAGCAGAACTAATACTGTAGGGTGTATTGGTTAATGTGGATAGTTCAAAAGGAGGTAACCTTAGCTTGCATTGTAGTGGTATCACCCTCACTATTATGCTCCTAGTGTCACGTTACAATAAACAAAAGAGCATTATTAATAATGATCATGCTTTCTGATAACCCTGTAACCCTCTTTCAGTGAAATACTTCTTTTAATAAAATACTTACTCTTTAGCATATTTCGTTTCTTCTTGGGATAGATGTGAAGGATGATCGCAATAATACCAAACGTATCTCTCTATCTACAATATAGAAACAGTATTTATTGTCTGTCAAGCATCACACAGACACATGTGCATGTTAAAGGGGACAGCATGTCGCTTTACCTTCTGTAATCTTGTCTTTAGATAGTTACATACAACATACTTTATACGATCGAGCTAGTGAGAGAGAGAGAGAGGACATGAAGCAGTAAGCAGGGGAAGAAGAACAAGGAGGATAAAATCAGAGGAAAGATAAGAGGAGGCATGTAATATAAGAATTAGATGAATACAAAAACTGATAAGGATAGAAGTTAGGAGGGGCAGTCATTATTGTATCATACATATATAAGCTATAGAAGAGTTTCATGTGTATAATATACACATTACAGAGCACTGTACTGCATTTTTGATTGCAAACAATAATTTAACAGTTCCCATAAAATTTCAATAGTCAAAACACTTTACTATAATGCTTAGACCCAATAGTAAACCACTAGCATTAAGAGAGCATCCTCTCATTGCATGCACAGCATGTGGTGAGCATGTACCTACCACACTCCACAGAGTGGGCCAATATCAACCAACTCAAGTAACCATATAATACAATCATAACACAGAATGAGAATACACAAATATACATTAGAATTAGTAATTATTACAGCATAGCATTAATATTATTATTATCTGTTATCATTTTGTACATACACAGGTGCAATTTTTAAAAATAGTTAAATATAACTCCTGCCAACTATTATGCACCTGAATGGTTTTATCAAAAGATATTTAAACTTTTCTGTTCCAGAACATCAAAACTGTAAGTAATTTGTATAACGGGACATCACATGCACCTTAACAACCAGATACTTAGTATCTTTACTGAATATAGCCATTTAAAAGTACAATAGTAAAGATATGGAGTACATTCAGTACAACAATTAAACAAGGTTATTAACAAGGTCAAGGTGATTGCCAATCTCATGCCAATGCTGGCATGCTCAAGTTATTTGCATGTGAAGAGCATGAGCTCCAAGTCTGTAGCATGAGATGGTACCACTCAAGAGAATTCAGGGCATGTTTAGCATGAGGTTGATAGACATCATTGTGTCATCAAGTCAAAATAATAACAGTACAAGGACTAGTAGTCTTTAATGGTAATAAAGATGAATAATAGGAAGAGTAAATAATGATAATAATAGTGATTGTGATGTAATAAGCATTGCCATAATGAATATTACTCCTAAATCTCATATGAATAAGTGAAAATCTTATTTAATGACAATTGATAGACATGAGTTTAATCATACCTCTTGTTTTAAGATGCTGCATACAAGATCAGCAGCTGAGAGTTCAGAGAGGGACTCATCCTGTATAAACATTTAAAAATTGAAATAAAATTAAAAAATAAATTACAAATAAAATTCAATTAAAATCACATTACATACCTCATATACTATTGTTATTATTTTAAAACTAATAATGCAAATAACGACATAAAAAAGTAAATACGCCCACTATTACACCCACTATATTTAATATAAACAATACTACAGGTACAACCAATCCACAGAGGCCTGACATTAGTCTAGACAATGATTGGAGCACGGGAATGAGCAAGCCCCACCCTAATTGAGGTATTACTATTATTATTAACATAAAATACAATATTAATATAATTACCAGTGACTTAATGTGTTCAACCAAGCATTCTAATAGATCAGGTTTGGCCGGTAGGAGCTCTGGAGATAATTTCTCGTTCTGCCATGCCTACAATAAAATAACAAACACATCCCCATATAAGGATGTTGTAATAATGATTGGTGTGTACATTAAATTGACAGTTTATTTATTCAGTGTTTGGACAGACTGTGGGATTTATGATATTTTTACTCACTTCTTCTATTTTTTCGACTACTTCCTTGATAGTCATTCGCCGGTATTCAAAGTCAGAGTCCATCGTGTCTTCTAAAGACTCCGCCATTTTATTAAAGTTAAATAGTAATAAATACTAGTAGCCTAGTTAGATAATCTTTATTAATAACTTATTCCCACCTTTAAATCACGTGATTAAAAATGGCGTCCTTTGTAAGAATTGTATAATCATTATTTTTGTGTTTATTTCATGATGCTTTATAGATTGCTAGAGCTAGTATGGGCCTCTGTAGACGCTCCTCATCTTTATTATTAGCAAGATCCTACAGCCAGCCGCTCACTGTCCTTTCGGAGGAGGAACAAATGATGAAGGACACTGGTACTTTAGTACATAGTTTTTACTGAGCCACGCCTATTTTGTGTTTTTTTAGTTGCAAGATTTGCAAATGAGAGAGTTAAGCCACTCGTACAAGAAATGGACAGAGAGTCGGAAATGAGCAAGGACATAATACGGGGCATGTTTGAACAAGGGGTAAATAATGATGATATTAACCAACTTACAACATTGAAAAACATGTATATGCATGCATTATCATTCCCTTTGTCCTTATTGTGTAGTTCATGTCTATAGAGATAGGGACTCAGCATGGCGGCACTGGCTCTACGTTCTTTTCTTCAATACTAGCAATAGAGGAGCTGGCTAAGGTTGACCCATCAGTCAGTGTGGTCTGTGATGTTCAGAATACACTAGTCAATGCTTACTTTAATGATTATGCTGGCCAAGAGCTGAAAGAGAAATATCTACCAAGACTATCGACTGATTTGGTAAGAAGAGGAATTATTTTATAAATAGAATAGTTATTATAGTACTTATATTGTCAGTTCAATATAATTATTTTATTTATTTATTTATTTTATTTAAATGCAATTGCATGTTTTGTCTTTGAGCTTGTTTTATTTTTGTACCATTACCTAGTAAAGACTATTAATTCTTGTCTTCTTGGGAAAGCTACTGTTGACAATTCATTAAAGATTTATAATATTTGTTTATTTTTTCTCAGTTGGGATCGTTTTGTCTGTCAGAGTCATCCTCAGGTAGCGATGCTTTTGCAATGAAGTGTTCAGCAAAGGACAACGGAGACCACTGGGTTCTGAATGGGGAGAAACTCTGGATCACTAACGCTGAGCATGCTGGAGTATTTATTGTCCATGCTAATTGTGATTTCTCTAAGGTCAGTAGGAGAGGAAGAGAGAGAGAGGGGAGGGAGATAAAGCTCTTCTTTTTTAGAAACACAGAGGGATATCAGCTTTTGTTGTTGATAAAGGCACTCCGGGTCTATCCCTTGGGAAAAAAGAGGACAAGGTGAGATATATTTATCACTATAATCTCCTGATGCATAGCCACTTCTATAAATTACACTGTAGCTTGGAATCAGGGCTTCATCAACGTGTCCAGTGATACTAGAGAATGTGTGTATACCTAAGAGCCAATTGTTAGGTGAGTATGGTAAAGGATATAAGTATGCCATTGAAGTACTTAACACTGGACGAATTGGCATTGGAGCACAGGTACGGGGGTAGCACTGTGATTGTACAGTGTTGTTATTGGTTCTTTTATTAAAAGATGTTAGGGCTAGCTGAAGGGGCTCTAAATGCTACCATACCTTACCTGATGGAGAGAAAGCAGTTTGGAACAGAAATCGGCTCATTCCAGGTTCAAAGACCCAGAGAGAAAGAGTGGCCAATAGAGGGTTCTGTTTTTTTACTTCATCTCTCCTACTTTTCATTATGTTCATTGGATTTCTTTCTCTCTCATTTCCCAGGCTATGAGACATTTAAAGGCTCAATTGGCAACAGAGATAGAAGCTTGCAGACTCTTAGTCTACAATGCAGCTAGAATGAGAGACAATGGCGTACCATTTGTTAAAGAAGCTGCAATGGCCAAGTACTACTCGTCTGAGGTGAGAGGCAGAGAGAAAAATACATGTAATCATTTTCTTAAAATACTATTGTTATTCATAAATAACTATTTGTCATTTGTTTTTATGCATTTTAGGTTGCTTGCAAGGTAGCTGGTCGTTGTGTTGAAATGACGGGTGGAGTTGGTTTCGTTAAAGACTACCCATTGGAGAAATTCTATCGTGATTCTAAGATAGGTCAGTGGATATTGCTGAAGTAATTTTTATTTGGTTGGTGTCATTATAGGTCAAATTTATGAAGGAACCAGTTTTATTCAATTGAATACGATATCAGACTGCATTGATAAAGAATATTCATCTTAATTAATTTTATTATTAATAATAATTATTATTATTTTACATGTACATCCATTTTGATTGCATAATATTATATTTTATGTCTTGTATATTATAATGTGTATGTTATATGTTATTATTATTATTATCATTATTGTTATTATTATTATTATTATTGTCAGTAATCATGATTCTGTTAGTTGAAGGCTTTTGAAGTATTCCTGGATAACCTAAGGGAATGAAGGAAGTGTTACCCAGAGGCACATAACTTCAAAGTATTAAGTCGGAATCAGCTCCAACTTTTTACATAGCATAGGGACATCAATATGTATCAGAAAATGTAATAAAAATTGGGTGTGATTTTAGAGCCATTTTTTGGAAAAAACCATGGGTATAGCCTTGGGTATTTTTCAAAATTTTGGCATTTTCTTAAAATGGCCGTAACTCGAAAGTTTTAAGTCGGAATCAGCTCAAACTTTTTTATATAGCATAAGGACATCAATATGTATCAAAAAATGTAATAAAAATTGGGGGTGATTTTGGAGCCATTTTTTGGAAAAACCCATGGGTATAGCCTTGGGTATTTTTCAAAATTTTTGACATTTTCTTAAACTGGCCGTAACTTGAAAGTTTTAAGTCGGAATCAGCTCAAACTTTCTACACAGCATAAGGACATCAATATGTATCAGAAAATGTAATAAAAATTGGGGGTGATTTTGGAGCCATTTTTTGGAAAAACCATGGGCTATAGCCTTGGGTATTTTTCAAAATTTTGGCATTTTTTAAAAATGGCCATAACTCAAAAATTTTAAGTCAGAATCAGCTCAAACTTTTTACATAGCATAAGGACATGAATATGTATCAGAAAATGTAATAAAAATTGGGGGTGATTTTGGAGCCATTTTTTAGAAAAACCCATGGGCTATAGTACAGGGTATTTTTCCAAAATCAGCCTATTTTTGTAAAATGTTCGTAACTCAAAAAAATTTAAAATTTCCTTACTTCAACAGGCACGAAGGTATAAGGTGTGTTCTGAATCACAGAGATCAACAACAAGTGTCTTCCTAGTTTTCTCCATTTTGTGAAGTTAATGATGTCTTTGGAATGGTCTGGTAGGGCATCAGGGAAGCCATGATGAATATGAGTCACTTCACTTAAGATGGCATCTAAAAATAGCAAAAAATAGCACCGAATGCTCTACTATACAACAAAGGGCTTAGAACATGCAAAAACAGCATCCATATATAAAAACTAATTTTTATACTGGATATGCAAAACTACCAATTTTTATTGCAACCCTAGCAGCTCCCTGGGCTTACCTATTAAAGGTATGTTAGGTACCAGGTGAAGTGTTTTAAATTTTGCATGAAAACGTTGATAATTTCCTTCTTTACTGACACTCTCTTGCAACGACTTTAACGTACTGATCTCAAAATCACTAACAAGCTATGGAAATAAATTGTAAAAAATAATGCTAAGAATCACTGTGTTTTTTTCTCAATTACCTCCCATGCTCCTCTTGTACCAGTTCTTGCACTCTCAGAGGTCAGTCCAGCTATTATGGCTGCTACTGCTTCAAAATTATTCAATTGAAGACAACTCTAAAAAAAAGGAAAAAAATGTAACACATTCAATGTCTGCATAAAGTTGAGTATGTGTATATGAAATTCAATAACTTGGTGTTTGTGAATGATGGCTGACCTCGGCTGATTTTATGAAATATGATATGATCAGTGATTGTCTCTCAATCTCATCATCCACTAACAGTGTCTCTGTCACTACTTTTGATAGCTGCATCATATTGTATGCGTGAATGTAAATTATACAGTAATACAACGATCTCCACTTACATTTCTCGAGAATAGCTTGACTGCTGTTAGACCAGGTATCTTCTCTATTAGTTTCCCTTGATCTCTTTCACTTTCCCAAGCAAGCATAGAGAATTCTTTTAACTTTTAAAACAGAATCAATATATTAGAGACAAAATACAAAGAGGCGCTATATCTCACTTGCACTTGGTTGAAAAGGTTGAAATATTTGATACAGAGCTGTCTTGCCAATTCAAGCGTATTGGCATCAGTGATGGACTATATTATAAAGTAAATACTAGTCATTTTGTTAGCATTATTCTTACAAATTTATTATCTTTAATGATTGGCTCAATTGGTTGGGAGGTCTGTCTTTTCATCATTTGCGTTAAACTGGATCTATCTCCTTGGAGGAGTTTTTGTAGCTGCTTACTGCAAGCACCCATTTCACTAATAGACAAGCTGAAATGATTATGCAATGCAATGTTATGCTTACCCTTCAATGCCCCTCAAGAATGACTCCATTTCTCCTCTTAAAGGTGAGTCTGAATTGAAGTCCTGAGGATGGAATTTTAACCAAAGTCTAAGAGCATGTACAACTCTGCAGAGGATAAAGAATTATTGTAAATAAAGGCAAATACCAATTGTAATAACGTACCTTAGTCTTATTGGTATGATGATATCAATTTCTACTGTGTCTGGATCAATATCAGTTAAATCTGGCTTGATGTGATATCTAAGGACAATAACAAAAATAATTTAAATATGCATAATTAATATATAAGTATAATAACTGTGCTAACCTCTCAATCAAAGATGATAATAATTGTTCGCAAGGTAGAAATCGATGAAATGCTAAGATAAATGTTTCCACAAACTCTGATTCTATTAGATATACAATCATTATTTTAATGATGAGAGGTTTATATTGAATACATACATACCAACTGTCCTCTCGTGTGTCAGTCTTTGTAGCAGCTGCTTTAGTGTCCCTCCAATTATTTTTGGTGTTGCAGTAGCAGCCCATGCACTCCCAGGCTATAGAATGAAATAAAATTTGCTTGTTGCATTACAAAAGACATCAATTTTACCATAAATGCCCTTGGAGAGATCTCTTCAAAAATAACAGTGTCAGAGTCATGATCCTGTATTAGCAAATCTCATTGATGTATCATCATGATATCAACTTACTGATGGTAATTTTGCTCCACTGATTGCTTTTCTTACTCTACTAATGCTTGGAGATGAGTCAGACTTCTGAGTATTATTGTAGGATTTTAGATAAGATATAAAAGCATTAATCATTATACAAACTATACTTACATTTGAGCTGTCTCTTTTGTTTTTTATTCTGTGTCCAGTCATCAGAGCTACAAACTCCTCCTCAAGTTTCTCAGCTTGAGCTAGCGCCTTTTTATGATCAGAGACCATGGTCAATGCATCTCGAATCTAGCAGGAAATAAAATTTAAAGACCACTGAGAGATTCTTACTGTCTTGGTGCATATTTCACTGATGTGAGTTGCAGAGGTCATTAGCCTCATCCTGTCTCGATCGGATGCTTGAGGAGCTGAAAATAAGACTCAATATAGCATGGCATTCTTTATATTCCTTACCGCATGCTGCAGAAAGTGACATGTAGATAGATATTGTAGCCGTTTTAAGCTGTTCCCCAGAATTATCTAATGTTTCTTGCATGTTGCTACTACCGAGAATATCACATTCCATTGCTGATACCTGTCAAAGAATACTTGAACGAAGAGTGTATTACATACTCTAATAATTGACACTAATAATGCTCAATGAATTACACTATTCATAGAAGTTAGTGTATATTTCAAGCATATGAATAAGAGTATCATTTGCATTTCCCACTAATATTTCTAGTTATATTATCATACCTCATCCCTAAGATGTCTTGCTGCCCTAAGGATCTCATCTACAGTTGCATGATAATTCTCTTTGGAGTTCTCGCGACATTGCTGGGTCAGGAATTGAACACTTTGAGTTACTTTGAGCAATAAACTCTCTGCAACCTTTGATATTGCCTGTAAAATATTAGAAAGTTTATAGTAACTTCAATAAATTTCCTTATAGCTTGCAATACAGTGAATATAGTTGATGAAGCTATATAGTACCTTGTTTAAAATGTAATGCTTTCTAAGTCTTTTCACAGCATCAATCCCCATATACTAAGGTACAATACATATTTATAAACAATTGTTAAAAACTTGATTTTTACCTGTGAGCTATCATTAGAAAATAAATGCGGTGAGAGAGGCTTGACTGGACTGACATTAGGGGCACTTGGCTTAATTCCTTGATCACTGCTACTTATTGATCTATAATAGGTACAGTGTTATTCATTAATGTGAAGTGTTTTGACCAACCTTGTCCCTTCATCATCAGCATCTTCACCACTGTCCCCATTGTAGTTCAGTGGCAAGTGGCTAGGCTGCAATGTCAATTGCTCTATGCTTAATATTGATGGTGATGATGGAGAGAATTCTGTACCTATATAATATATATTATCATAAAACATACCAGGATTATTCTGCTTACCATTAACTTTAGGATGAGATGCAATCCTTGACTTTCTTTCTTTGCTGTGTCTCTTGCTACTGGATGTACTGCTCAGTGTACCAATGGATTTTCCAGCAGTTGACCCAGAGGTAGTGCTAGAGATTGGAGAAGATGACCAGCATTCATCATCATCATTGTTTTTTGCTGAGAATAAAGTACTATGATTAAATATATTTTATTTCACCAATTACCTGCCCTACTGGAGGCCCATCCCTGCACCCAGGGCAATTGCAAGAGCTCCCAGCCAGAGATTCTTATTTCATGAAGGAGTGAGGCACACTGTGCAACTAGCAGGTAATCAAGCATTGCTACAATGAGAGTGTGACCTGCTATCAATAAATCAGGAACTGCAGCTATAAGAAAATGAATTTCATGGCCCGGCACATTATAATCATCTTTGTCATTACATATAATACACTAAATCATTATGCTGTACCTGGTTGTGTTTCCTTTGATGCTGCAGTCTTTACTCTTTTCACTAGTCTGTCCATTGCAACTTTGAGCTTGTGCTCCATATCCATTATTCTGCTTCTCAATGGATGCAAATGAATGAGAGAATACCTGTACATGCAGTATAGTAAAAGTAGGCATAGAGAATTGAGTTATAGTACATACTCTTTTGATTCCTGTATCTTTTCTAATGCTCTCCCTGTGCTCTGGAGCATATTATGAGCTAGTGCTGCAAAATAATCAGCTTTGTCTTCATATGCTGCACGTATTAATCTAACAAATAATGAGAATAAACAATCATTACAATATAAAATTTTCAGTTACCCCAGATAAGCTGTGATAGTTGTGAAGACTAGAACTCCAGAGATACGACCAGAGCCAACAAAGTATGACTTCTCCTACAATAAAATCAAACATATTTCTTTTTGATGATAACATACGTCTAGTTGCCCTTTTAGGAAGTTCTCGGGTGCAGTTGCATGTAGGAGATACCCTGACAGGGCTGCAGCTCTGAGACAGTCGCAACTCCTCTCGACAAGATTTGATATAAATTTTATTTGCTGGAGAAAATTGCCCACTGAAGTCTCGAAACCTGTTCTAGCAGCACCTTTAAGGCCACAGAGCTCTTTTGTGACAGTGATGAGCTATTAATTGGAGAGATGGTAGCTCATTGTGTCATTATTCATTAGCATTATACTTCTCTGCTGTAATCTGTGATTAGTTCAAGCAGGAGAGTAACAACTAGCCTAAATTCATCTGAAGGACAGTGTCTAGTGACTAGCCATTCCTCATTATCGACTAGATGACGTATGTGTTTAACAAGCTAGAGAAAGAAAGAGGGAGAGAGAGAGGGAAAGAGAGGTCAAAGCAATGTTAATTATTGTCATGACAACTAGATAAGAATCTTTGTTTAAATCTTATTCATGCCAATCCTCAAGCCAAGTGGGTCCATGTTTATTGGTGATTCTGTTTGTATGTTAAACAAATGGGATTCATTGCAATACTGATAAAGGCTGTATTACAATACACTTGAGATTAAGATCAACATACACAAATCAAAATTATAATGCACTGCCTGAGTGATTGCATGGAGCAGGAAACCACAATGTAACATGCAGCATATAAAACAATGAATTGAGAATATCGAGTAGCAAGAAACATTGTGTAATGCACTGATATGCTTACAGCAGAGACTTGAGGTTTTAAAGTATCCCAGAGTACACGTCTTGATGGGACGTGAGGATAAGGTTTACCCTCGTGTGCTACGATTGTTGAGAGTACTATAAAAGAGAGTAATAATTAGGTTTATGATACAATGCTAATTATGTGCATACATCTTAGCTCCTCTTTAATATCGGAGACTAGTCCTGGGAGGTCTTCCAATGCTTCATCCATCATCTGCTCAATATTAGCAGCTCCATGATCAGTAACTATCGGAATAGAGTCAAGTAAATCTAATTTTCTTATGTTTTCAAACCTTCATCTTTTGGAGTTATGCTAGAGTTTCCTCTTTTTGGGTGGTGACTTTTTTCGTCTTCCTTTTCAACATTTTGTGTCTCTCCCCTTGTACGGCCACTAGCTCTGGTTTCTTTAGAGATCTTGACAAGTCTTATCTCAAGGAGGGGAGCATGTGCCCCATACTGGAGCTGGAGATTGAGTGGACACTCTGTCTTACCCAAAACTCTAGTACCTTAATAAAGAATATTAATACTAAACTATCATATTGCAGTGCAACTTTTATTATCAGTGACATTTATGCAGGTCAGCCGGTATTAGCAAGAATATCTAATAGTAAGTACTCTTGGTATTAGATTCATGCTTACTGTGAGTAGAGTGGTTTCTTTCTTCGAGGACATAGTCCTCAGGTTTTCCTGATAGGCCCAGGACTTCAATTAGCTGACGGATCAAATCCTCAGTCACAGAATCACTACCAACCAACATTGATTTGGTCTGTATAGCATATCCACGGTCATAAGTGATTCTTATTACGCCTCTGTAGACCAGGTCCTGCTTTATATGCTGTGATAGCATGAGAGGATTGGAGGGGCTTACTGTCTGAGGTGCAGAGAGAGGGAAGGAGGTCTCCTTGGTCTTGCTTTTCCTCACTTTCTTGTTGTAGCTCTCTATCTTTTTGATGAGGTCCTTCCGAGCCGCATCTCTTTCTTTGGCTGTGAATTCAGTCACGTCCAGTGGAGTCGCCATTCAAGGAGGCTAGGGAAGAGAGGGGGAATATAAAAGCAAACACGCCTGCTCTGTTTCTGTTTTCATCAAAAATGCAATAAATCTAATGAGCCCCACCTTTTCCGTAAACACTCTAATTATAAAACTCCATTTCTTGCAAAAGTAATATCAAAATTAAAACTATCATGGATTCACGTGTACAGACTGCTGGGATCATCGGTAAGTAAATGTACTTAAAAAATATTATTATTTATTCTTTTGTAGTTATTGGAGAAGAGATACTTAAGGGACACGTTCATGACATAAACTCTCACTATTTAGCTAAAGAGCTATGGTCACTGGGGGTTAAAGTGAAGAAGGTTATCAAATTCCTCATATGACAAGGGCTGTTTGATTTTGTATCCCTTTCATTAGATAAGTGTGGTCGGAGATGACGTGGACGACATCTCGCAAGAAGTAAAGATATTTTCTCATTTGTACGACTACGTTTTAACATCTGGTGGCATTGGACCGACTCATGATGATGTCACTATGGCCGGTAAGCATTAAAAAAGAAACAAAATATATATCGTACATTATTTTATGAATTAAATTTGTAGGTATTGCTAAAGCATTTGACGAAGTTCTAACTACTAATCCTGATATGCTCAAAGTCCTAACTAAAGATGGCGTCCGTGATGAAGAGAACATTTGGCTTAGAATGGCGATTGTTAGTAACAATGGAAATACCACCAGCTGTTACTCAGTATTTTTAAATTTTTAGGTGCCTAGTTCGGCAGTTTTCTGTCCTCAGACACTTACATTATGTCCGCTGGTACGTATTCATAATGTTTATCCATTTGCAGGAATGCCTTCAGCTTTGAGATCAACATTCCAGTATCACAAAGTAATATAAACAGTCACATTTAAATGAGACATTGTTTTTGTTGTAGCAATTGTTTGCGTCAAAAGAGAAGAGTGCTGGGTTCTTTCTAAAGGAGGTTTTCTTTTTGGTTGAAGAGGACAACTTGGCCGTCCCGTTGAATGTCCTTCAAAATGAGTTTAAAGATAGCGTACAAGTTGGATCCTATCCCATTGATGATATGAAGTATGTTTATAATGTTTATTTAGATGCTCATAACTTGAAAAATTGAAGTTGGAATCAGCTCAAACTTTCTACATAGCATAAGCACATTAATATGTATCAAAAAATGTAATAAAAAAATTTTGTGATTCCGGAGCCACTTTTTGAAAAAACCCTGGGCTATAGTACAGGGTATTTTTCAGAAATTGGGCAATTCTAAAAATTGCCCATAACTTGAAAAATTGAAGTCAAAATCAGCTCAAACTTTCTACATAGCATAAGGACATCAATATGTATCAAAAAAATGTAATAAAAAATTTTCGTGATTCCAGAGCCATTTTTCGGAAAAAACCATGGGCTATAGTACAGGGTATTTTTCAGAAATTGGGCAATTCTAAAAATTGCCCATAACTTGAAAAATTGAAGTCAGAATCAGCTCAAACTTTCTACATAGCATAAGCACATTAATATGTACCAAATATTGGTGTGTTTTTTAGTTCTTCTGTTCGTGTTAAAGTATCACTAGAGGGCTCAGATATCAGTATAATAGAAAAGGTATGGCAGTTACTGTTATGTCTATCAATTAAAAATTTTTGCTCAGTGCTATTGCTCACTATTATTGAAAATGGGCCCTCAATTAATTCAGTCCGTTCAAAACAGCTGGAAGAATAAGGATGAGGTAAAATTAAGGTATGAATTTAAAAAGAGTATTTTTTTTGATTAATGTTATCAATGATTGTAGGGAGTCACTAAAATGGCTGGAGACTGAGCTGGTCTTTCACAGACTGCACTTAGCACCTATGTCGCTTTTAATTAGAATTAACGAAACAATCGAAACCCTGAAAGTAGCTTTAGACAAATTTGGGTAAAAAAATAATTCATTACAATGATCTACCTTATCTTTAAATTGCTTCCAGTCTTGATGGTCTTTGCATTGCATTTACTGGTGGTAAAGACTGCACTGTTCTTCTCCCTCTTTACCAAGCAGTCATTAAGAGCAAGGGACTCTCTTATGAGCAGCTCAAAACTCTTTACGTTTCACCTAAAAACTCCTTCACCGAAGTTGAAGAATTTATAGGGCAAACTATTAAAAAGTAAAGGAGAGAAGGAAGATTAGTCATTTTGCTTCTCTTCAGATATAAGTTGGATCTAATAAGGATAGAAGGGACTATACAAGAAGCTTTGGGCAGCCTAAAAGTAACCCATCCCTCCATTAATGCTATTATAATGGGGACTAGATCCACAGACCCATACTCAGGTGATAATTTATAACATTGTGCATTACGTGTGTGTGTATGTTTTATTTTTGTTTGCTGTAGATAATTTGAAGACGTTCTCTTCGACTGATGCCAATTGGCCACAGTACACCAGAATACACTGCATTTTGGTATGAGTAGGATTACATGTACATGTATATAATATGATAATAAAATTGTGTAGGATTGGACATATTCACAAGTGTGGGTATTCCTAAGGTTATTTGAAATACCTTATTGTCAGCTGTATGATAAAGGGTAAGACACATCATATACTGAACAGATTCTGCTCTACTTTCTCTCAGTTACACTTCTTTAGGCAACAGCACTGATACTAAACCTAACCCAGCTCTATCAATGGAAGCCATTCAGACTGATGCTGTGTGTAATGGTATTTCAGACTATCAACCAGCTTACTGTCTCTTTGATGAGACTCTGGAGAGAGCTGGACGCTCTAAGAACTGAGAGTAGTGAAATTAAGACTTATTTATTTGTGTATTTATTTATTTATTTGCTATCTTTTTACTGTTTTTATTAATGACTTAATTATAATTTATATCTAAAATCTAAAAAAAGCAAAATAAGGAAACTATTTTTAAAAGGCATGATTTTCAATTATAGTTTTTGGTTAATTAATAAATTCAAGGCATGAGTCGTTGCAGATTCCACTTGTTACCTTCTTTTTTAAAAACAAGTCGGTCAGCAAGCCAATCCTCACTTCCTTGGAACAACTCAATGGAGTGAGGTATCACAGTGTAGGCCATCCAATTCTCTGGCAGTGGTACAGGAACTGAAGGATCGCTATATTCCATTGCTATCTTCTTTCTTCTCTCGACCAATTCTTCTTTGCTAGCTATCGGTTTATCCTGTTGGCCCAGTAGGAGGGTGATTTGACGCTTTCTATCCAAACTATCAAAGTATTTCTGAGCTCTTTCTTTCCCCAGTTCCTTAGCTATCCCTTCTATGCGAATCTGATGAGAAAACTTTGCGAGAAAAATAACCACTGACACTTTTGGGTTTGATGTGAGCTCCTTAACTTTCCTGCTGGTAGAATCGGTGTAAAATGGGAATCCTCCATCTTCAATGCCTCCATAGTCAACGTACCGGGAAGAAGGTGTACAGTCTGAGCTGACTGTTGATAGACACATTATGACTGGAGGTACTGGTGCAGTGGAGCCTTCATTCTCTTGCTCTATCCATTTATTCACTTGGAACAAAGGGTCATAAGGAACTACCAGCTGGCTCTCTGTTAACTCCTCCATATTTCAGCAACCACTCCTCTTCACAATTCACATCAGCAGATCAGCTCCACATGTGACAGCACGTGGTTAAAATGTACGGAAATAAACGAATAGAGTCTAGCATGTGCTAAAATAGGTTACACTCGGAGTATGTAAAAGTATTAATTATAATTATTAATTATAATGTATAATAAATAAAAACATTTTCTGAACGAAACATTTGACCGTAATTCACAATAGAATAATAATAATAATACAAAACTAGAAGATGACGTCATGAATATCAGGAAATCAAAAAAGAATAGAAATGCAAAGAAAAAGAATTAAACAAAAGAAAGAGAGAGAGAGAGGGAAGACTTGATTGTGTCATTTACGAATAAAATATTCAAAAAAAGGCGGAACAGAAAATACTTCTCATCTATTGAAAAGTACACCAGGGATTAAGAATACAGATGCACCTAAAAGAAATAAAAAAAAAACAATTCATGTAAGTACATGTACGTACTAAGTAAAAGTCCAGCCCACATTAATTAACTCCTCCCATATTAATTAAACAACCACGCCCATTTGGTAAAACTCACTTTCTGGTAGTGCAAAGATTGCTGGAGGTAACGAACTGAAATATTCATGAGCTAGTGCATCGTCAGCAGTAATTCTATTGGACGGAATTAGCTGAAGCAGTTTCATTGCCAAATCGCCGACTTTGGTTTTAGGATGAAGTCTAAAAATATAATCCAAACATTAAAAATAAATTATTTTTAATCTCACATAGGTGCTACTACTTCAAGACCAAGTGGGGGACACTGCTCGTATTGCTCCGGCCTATACTCAGGAAGATCAGTTACTCCTGGCCATGTTGTATTATTGGGGGTACCAAGAATCTAAATATGAGAGGGAGAGAGAGGGAGGCAGAGAGAGAGGGAGGGAGAGAGAGGGAGGGAGAGAGAGGGAGGGAGAGAGAGGGAGAGAGAGGGAGAGAGAGAGAGAGGGAGGGAGGGAGAGGGAGGGGAGAAAAAAAAAGCAGAAAGGAACGAGAGAAAGAGGAGGAAAGAAAGAGAGAGAGAGAGAGATAAGTTATAAAATGTACATTATGTACATTGCAAAAATGATACATATTTGTACACACATACATGTACATGTTTGGCTCCACACTGACAAGAATGTATTTGTTAACCAATCATGCATACACAAGTGTACACAAATATACATACACATACATGTAAAATTTGTAAATACATACATACACATATACACATGTACATGCATTCATACATACTATAATGTGTACACACAGACACAGTAAACGGAATGCAGTTTGGAGACTGAGAGACATTTTGCTAAAATAACATTTCATGTATCATTGCTAATTAGGAGAGGAATGTTCCTTTTACTCCAAACTTACGCTCCATATCCTGTTCAATTGATCATAGACGCCTTTTAGTCCAGGGAATAAAGGTTTGCCGGTCAGCATCTCCACAAATATGCACCCAACTCCCCTAGAGAAAGAGGAGTCAACTCATGAGGGAGAGTGCTTATTAGATAAAGGGATACATGGAAAGGATAGCACAGTGTCTAATTATCCCTTCAATGGAAGAAGGTAAACTAATTTTTCTTACATGTATCATAAAAATAATACTAAAACAATAGGCCAAGGACCCAAAAAGAAACGAGAGAGACAAGCCTTTAGTATTATAATATTGTTATTATTATATGAGGTAAGAAAGTGGAAAACATTATTATCATTGTTATTATTAGTATATTATTTTTGTTCTTACCACATATCAAGGGATGTGAAGTAATCGGTGGATCCCATGAGTACGTCAGGTGGTCGATACCACAGTGTCACGACTTCGTGAGAATACGTCTTAGTGGGGACGGACTTGGCACGGGCTAAACCAAAATCAGCCAATTTGAGTTCCCCATTGTGATTAAGGAGGATATTCTGAGGCTTGAGATCTCTGAGAAGAGGAAAAGATAAGAATCAAAACTATACACACAAGTTGCATTCAAGGTGATTATCAAATTATTGCTTATTATCTAAATTGTGTCGTGGCTTCCTCTCTTTTCTCTCCCCCTCTCCTTCTCTTAGGCCCATAAGACCAGACACTATGATTTTATTTCCTTAGGAATTAACCAGACTGTCTGTAGGAATTAACCAGACTGTCTGTTGGCTGCTTGCTCATTGAGTATACACACGAAGCACTCCCTCTCACACTTCAAAAGGGGGTAGCATTACACAAGAGGGGATCAGATTAACTCCAATACTACATGATGGACTATGTGGCTACATTGCAAGTACTGTAGATATGTATAGAATTATGTGAATGCATGTCACTTGGTTACCTGTGAAGTATTTTTCTTCTGTGACAGAAATTGAGGCCTCTTAGCAATTGAATGAGTAGTATTTTAACATTTCTTGGATCAAGGGGGCCAGGGTGCTTCTCCATGTATCTACTGAGGTCAGTATCCTGAGAGAGAGAGAGGGGGAGAAGGGAGAGAGAGGGAGAGAGAGGGATAGAGAGAGAGAGAGAGAGAGAGAGAGAGAGAGAGAGAGAGAGAGAGAGAGAGAGAGAGAGAGAGAGAGAGAGAGAGAGAGAGAGAGAGAGAGAGAAAAGGATAGAATGTCACAGTTATAGAATGTGACAACAACAAAGTCTTTCAAGGTATTTATAATTTGATTAGTTCGAGTTGTTCATGCCAGCAATCCTGCATACTTGACCATACCTGTCAATCTCATTAACACGATAATTTACACAACTCTCTCCCACACTCTCCTCTCTCTCTCTCTCTCTATCTATAGCCTTTTTAATCTGTCTGTCTGCACTTAATAATTAAATAGAACAAATACCATTGCTATTAATCTATGGTCTATATTTCTCTCCTCTTTCCTCAATTCTTGTACTAGTATATGCCTGTCAATGTTACTCACCACATATTCAAAGACAAAGGTAAGATTATTACTGGTATGAATGATGTCGTGCAGAATAACTATATTTGCATGTTTCAGTCCTTTTAGCAGTGATGCTATTATAGGAGAGAGATAGGGGAAAAGAAGAGAGAATTAAAGCTTTAAAAGAGCTCATTACCAAATGTCATTATACCTTCTCTAATTGCCGTGAATGGTGTTCCTTCCTCAGAATTGAGTCTAATCTCCTTAAGAGCAACATAATGGCCATTAGCTCTACAGGAAGGAGAAGAGAATAACATCTCATTTATTAATAATGGAGCGGCTAATAACTCTATTGACAGCTTATTAGTAATTGCCATTTTTGAATGTGATTGCATTAACTGTAAAGTGCCAATTTTTGGAAAAAACATACATGCACACTTTTTCCAAAAATTACTTTACAGAGCATGAGTATCTGAAATCCTAAATCAGGTTGACTTTTAAACGACCCGTCTTTATTACATTATCAGATATCATAAGTTAGTCTATACCAACACAGTGCATGTACTTGTCTCTCTATTCAACAACAAACAGGGATTAAGGAGAAGTTAAATTTTCCCAAAACCTCAAAGGCACAATAATAATGTTGATTCTTTTAATACAAACATGCTCCAGCCACTTACATGCTGATTCCCTTGTAAACTGTTGCATATGAGCCTTCGCCCAATGCCTCTAGCTTCTTGTAAGTTTCTAATCTGCCAAAAGGACTACCCAACTAGCAGGAGAAAGAGGGGGAGGAAGATAAAACAATATATAATTGTATTAAATTTTCGCATACGTGCAAGCACAAAAATGTAAACATTATGTAACCAATATTATGCACATATATGTACAATAGAATGCATCCTAAAAGTATGCATACGTACATGTACATGTGCATGTAAATGTATACGATGTGCATGTACATGTACATGTAAATGTATATGGTGCATGTACATGTACATATAAATGTATACGATGTACATGTACATGTATACGATGTACATACATGTATGCATGTACATGTAAATGTATACGGCGTACATGTGCATGTATTCTTACAGGTGACAATGGAGCGTTACTAGTAGAAAACCGCCTCTGATTAGGTAGTAATAAAGAATTACCAGTCCCTCCTCCAGCAACACTCCCAGTAGTGCTAGTGTGATTAATGAGAACTGCATTACTGATAGATCCTGTCGATCTAAAGGCAGGGATCGGTCGGACTATGTCAGGTTTGGGTCCTATAGCATCGTTTGATGACGAGGCAGTTATGGGTATGGAGTTACGCCTTAGCCCCGGAGGCTTTCCGCTAATGCTCTAGAATAATAAATAGTGATAAATACAAACTCACAAAGTTCAATTTACGTTGGCACAAATGAATAACTATAGTTTATAGTAGAGAGTACATGTAAATGAGTAAACAAACGATCAAGAGTAATCCCACAATATTTCAGTATATTTCAGTATACTCTCAGTATATTCACTTACTAATGAAACCGGCCTTGATCTTGACTTCTGTTTTGGCTCGTGCCTCGGTGACGGTGTGGGCTCTAAATAGAATCAAAAACATATTTAAAATTTTTTATTTACAAATCAAGGCAATAATAACCTCGCCTAAAATTTCATAGCAGTGAGCATAAAATTATAAAAATGCATACACCACACAAGAGAGCCCCAGCAGGAAGTGGCCTGACTACTACCATTAACCAATAATGAGATACTCATTAATATATAATGTCCAAAGTGAATACATACATGTACCTATTAGCCACTATATGCGCATATATACATATACATACATGTATTATGTCTATTGTTAATAGGATATATTACTTATATACAGTTAATGGGTACACTAATTGCATCCACTTGTATGTACATGTATCTACATTAGACTAATGCATATAATGTGTATGTGTGTATATATACAACACTATTGGCCAGCTGCATTTGTATGATCATGTGTAGGTAGATCAAAGTGACCAGAAGATATAGAAATGAGTACATGTAAAGCGATTGGGAAGCACATAAAAGGGGCTGTGAGTGTCTCAATGAATACTGTAAGTGCTATATAAAAGGTAAAGAAAAACTAGTAACTTGCCTCTTCTGGAAAAGCTTTCAGAGAGACGCCTTTTGAGCTGTTTCAGTTTGCTCTCTCTCCTTTGTAGCGTTGATACTTCGGCTATTGAGGAGAGAGGGAGGGAGGGAAGAGAGTGGGGGAGAGAAAGAGATGAAGGTGAAATAAAGTTGTATTACGATGGTATTTCTAAAATATTGTAATATATTCCTTTTCTCTTTCAAAGAATACATCAGAATCAATCATGCATAAAATCTCATGTATATTTACATAATATTAGTTCAGTATCATGAGTGCATTGTAATGCATGAATAACAGTTTGTCTATACTGCTTTCTATTATGATACACAGCAAGTCTTTTCAGTAATAACATGCAGCTGCAATGAACTCAGCCATTATTCCATTATTTTTAATATAAAAACTTTGTCTCTGACGTAAATATCCCCTTATCTCTCTCTTGTTATTCAGCTTCCTCTATTAATAAATTCATGTTTTCGTAGACTTGTTATTCAAGCAGCAAAAATAAACAAATTGCTAGGAATGGGTGGACAAACACTTGAATTTTACAAGTTAGTTACAATAAATGTTTCTTGTCTTAAAACAACAAAATTTAACCACGACTTAAAAGAGGGGGAGAGAGAGAGACATTAATTCATTCATTCATCCATTCTGTTGTCATAACAATCGATATACTATAATTTATTATAGTAAGTAGTAATTTGTATGAATACAAGTAGTAGTAGTAATACACTCTATTAATTATTCTGTTTACTTGTTAGTAATACAATGCAATATTTGTGTCGCTATCAAAACTATTGATTTAAAGATTGCATAATTTAAATTGTTTTTTTGGTAGAGAGGCTAAGAGTAAAAACAGAGAATAAAGAGAGAGAGAGAGAGAGAGGGGGGGAGAGAGAGAGGGAGAGAGATAGGGAGAGAGTATCAAAAGACAACACCATCGAGGAAAAAACAAAGGATTATGTCAACGTCTTCCAAAGGAAATGAGAGTGTAATCAAATGTCAAAGGATTCATGTGGTATGCAGTTGATAACTGGCTACACATTACCCTCTATAGGGAATTATTAGTGTGTACCGGTACATGTATAATTATGCAGATCTATGTGTGTTTTTGTGTCAGTATGTACATTAGAGTAGGAGGTATAATGTTAGTACAGGTAAAGTGTTTGCTTCCTTCTCATTTATATGTGTATTGGCAAACTGAGGCAACAGTAAAGCTTGCACGAGTTGAGAAGGCCAAGTGTACAACTACATGTATTGACAACAAAAGAATAATAACAAGTCAACAACAGCAAAAACAACAACAATGCTAAAACAAGCAGTTTAGCATTGTAAAACAAGAGAGAGAAGAGAAAGAAAGAAAGAGAGAGGTGACATAAAAACACAATTTCATTACTAATCTCGCTAATGTAATAGAAACAGTCTGATAGGACATGTAGACACATCAAAACAAGGTCAAAAACATTAGAAATAAGTATAATATATACATTTTTTAAATACAGGCGAAAATGATCGCTGTACAAATTCTACAAGATCACGCACAATGTCACAACAATGTCGTCACCTCATTAAATACACGTACATCAATGCTTCACTTACTTATTTCACCATTTTGTGCTGCGTACAATTCTTGTTCACCACCTGAGTGTCTCTTCATTGGGCTCAGGCTGTTACCTCTGGCCTGGTAGCCATTAACTTTTAAAGAGGTCTGAGTTGTGCTGACGCTAGATCTGCTCTCTTCACCATCTCCTTCTTCCTCCTCTTGCTTCTCTTCTATGAAAACTTCCAGCCCGCCATTAACACCACCTGAAGAACGCTTTCTGTAACTATTTTCTTCTACTCCTGGTCCTCCTTCAACCACTAGATCCATATGTTGCTTGATCTGCTGGCTATGGTAATCGTAGAAGACATTGTCCACAAACACGCTGTCAGTCGCCGCCATCCCTTCTAGTTAAGAATATTGTTATAAAAGAAAGACTCCCTTAGGTTGTAAGGTTTGCTCCGATCTACAGCCCTTTAATATTATCTGGTGTAGCTAATGGCTTTTAAAAGCTTTCTTGACAGTAATGTCCAAAGGAATTCGACTCAGACATACTGATAGATGAGGTCGTGGGTGGTGCTTTATCAGACAATCCTACCTCTTCCTTTTCTTCTCTGAGGCTTCTTGCAATTTGCATGCTCCTCTTGCTAAAAATAAAAACCAACACCTCTAAATATTTAAAATGTATACTTTGGAAAAGATATTACGATAATGCAAGACATTTCTATTGATTTTATAAATAATGCTGTTTTCTGCTGCTACATATAAAAGCACAATTATTCAGTTTTTACTGTATTAATGCTGTACTACATGCTTGTTGCATCAATATGGAATGAAATCATTTCCTACACATTTTTATAAAGGTCAACAGACTGTGGATGGCAACAGTACTCTATCACTGGAGTGGCATCAGCTTTCAGTTTGTGGCTTCAAAGAAAATACCCTTGCCATACTAAGCCATATCCATATTTGCTGAATGTACAACTAACTCAAGCATTGCTGCAATGAGGGAGTGTTATAATGCCGGTTTGCTTCACTGCACAAGTATGCAGGTACAAATTAACACAAGTTTAATATTATAACAATCATCAAATTCCAGAAAAATCATTATTAAAATCAACACTAATAACAGTCCAATAAATATCATGTCATTTTCCCTATCAGACTCTCCAGTCTTGCATCTGGATTGCATTCAAAATACGAGTAGACAAAAGCATGCGATATCTGGGAATACAGCTCAAGCGTGATTTCCTCATCTTTCAAACTCTTTAGAAACTGCCGATGAGCTTGCTCCAGTTTCAAGAGCAGCTCTTGTCTTCTGGATTCCAATGACTCCATCATCTCCTGCTCGTTCAATATGGCCTCTCTCAATCTCTTAGCCTTCTCCAGCTCCATTACCCTCTCCTTGTACTCAGTCCCAAAGTAATGCTCAATGTAATCATAGTCCTGTTCATCCCAGAGGTCTACCGTGTTCATGTAGTCCGATATAACTGCTGCCTTGTACATGTAGAGTAATTGCTTTAGTTGGACGTCTTTGCGTAGTTTCTCAAGTCTTTTCATAGTTTCTAGTCTCTTTGCTTCCTTTCGCTCATAGTCCCTGATCTCCCTCTCCAGTTCTTCTCTTTCTCTCAGTTTCCTGTCTTCTTCAGCCTTTTTCTTGGCCTGTTAGTTAATAATGATAATAATAATAGTGGTATCATTATCATCATTGCGTAATATCATCATACTTCTCTTTCTAGTCTTTTCTTTTCCATTATTTGTGCCATCTGTTGCTCAATGCCTTGTGTCACTGACAATTCAAGATTCCTGTTTCTCTCTTCTTTATCATCATCGTCATCACTTTCTTCAAGTTGCTGTATCAACACATGTTGTATGTGCAATTACATACTACTGACTAACCATGTCTCCTTTCTTCTTCTTCTTCATAGATCGCTCTTTCTTCTTGGCCTTTCTCTTCCTTGCTCTCTCCGATTCATCTCCACTCTCTCCTATTAAGAGGTATCAGAATTATTAGCATGTACATGTACAAACAAGAGTTGTATAAAATACCTTCATCACTGCTTGAGGCTTCAGATGACTCCGAATCACCTTTCTTGGATTTGCCTATACAATTGGGAAATTTAAAGTTGCTCAAAATTTTGACGAAAAATACCCTGTACTGTAGCACAGGGTGTCTCATCAAAAATGATAAAAAATGACTAGATGAGATAAATTTTACATTATATTCATGTTGTGTAGAAAGTTTGAGTTGATTCTGATTATAATTGAATTTTTTTACAAATTTAAAGGTTTCAAAAATTATTAATCAAAAATGGCTCAAGGAGAATTCTCCAGCAATTAGTAACATTAAAAATTGACCCCATATGCCAGTCCAAGTAATAATAATAATAATAATAATAATAATAATAATAATAATAATAGTAATAATAGTACATGCAACAGTTACATGTACTGTACATGTACCTTTCTTTTTATTCTTTTTCTTCTTCTTCTTCTTCTTCCTTGATTCACCAGAGTAGCTCTCAATACTACTGCCTGATTCATCACTCAAATCACTGGCAGATCCTCTTTTTGTCTTCTTTTTCTTCTTCTTCTTCTTCTTTTTCTTTTTCCTCTTAGAGTCGCTATAGCTATCCTCATCAAGACTCGTAGCAGCAGATTCCTCACCACTCGCATTCTTCTTCTTCTTCTTTTTCTTCTTCTTTCGTCGTTTCTTTATTATTTCTTCAGAAGAACTATCAGAAGACTCTTCTCCGCTCTCCCCAGATGCTTTCTTCTTCTTCTTTCGTTTTCGTTTCTTCTTTTTCTTTGATTCTTTAGAACTATCAGCAGAGGACTCGCTGGAGGAGCTTGAGTATTTTTTCGCTTTCTTTCGTTTGCGTCGTTTCTTTTTTGACTTCTTCTCGCCATCAGTAGAATCATCACTTGAGCTTGTAACATACTTCTTTTTCTTCTTTCTCTTTTTACGTTTTTTCCTTGATACTTCAGAGGAATCCTCTTCACTTGAGGTATCAGAAAGGTTTTGTCTCTTTCGTTTCTTACGTCGTTTTTTAGCTCTCTTGTCGTCTGATTCAGAATCACTGTCACTGCTATCGCTGGAGCTACTACTGTGCTTACCTTTTCTTTGAGATCTTTTTGATTTCCGGCTTGTTGCTTTTGATTTTGATTTCATTTCTCTTTTCTGCTTCTTTTTTCTAACTTTTGATGTCCCGCCCAACCCATCAGCAGTTCCTCCTTCCTCGGAAGAGCCAGATTCAAATGAACTCGAATCAGAGGAATCAGAATCAGAATCACTAGAGTCAGAATCAGAATAATCAGAATCAGAGGAATCAGAGTCAGAGGAATCAGAATCAGAGGAATCAGAATCAGAATCTGAGGAATCAGAATCTGAATCATCTGAATCTGACATTTCAGAGCTTGAAGCATCATCACCAACAGCTCTCTTTATTTTTCGTTTTAGTTGCCTCCTCTTCTTTTTCCTTATTGATTTCTTCTTATGAGTAGAGCTATCATCATCATCATCACTGCTGCTCTCATCACTGCTGCTGTCTGATGTATCCCTACTTCTTCTCTTTTGCCTCCTTCTCTCTTTCCTTCTCTTTACCTTTCTCCTCTTGGTATCTTCAGAGTCATCATCACTTCCTTCATCACTTTCTTCATCTTCATCGTCCGAATAATCTCTCCCTTTTCTTTTTGACTCTTTCTTCTTCTTCTTCTTTTTCTTTCTTTTACTTTTGTAGTCATCATCATCACTCTCACTCTCTTCATCTTCATCGTCTTCGTCTGAATAGTCTTTCTTGTGTCGCTTTTTCTTCTTCTTCTTTTTCTTTTTCTTACTCTTTCCTCCTTTCTCCTCACTCTCACTCTCACTCTCCTCATCTTCGGAATCCTCTGAGTCCTTTCTTCTACGCTTTTTCTTCTTTTTCTTCTTCTTCTTCTTTCTTTTTCCTTCTTTATTTTCATCATCATCATCATCACTTTCATCTTCCTCGTCATCGGAAGATGCTCTCCTCCGTTTCTTCTTCTTTTTCTTTTTCTTCTTCTTTTTACTAGTTTCACCATCACCACTGTCATCATCATCATCATCTTTGGAATCTGTTACATATTTCTTCTTTTTCTTTTTCTTTTTGCTTCTCCTAGTCCCGCCATCTTCATCATCTTCATCTTCGCTGTCGGAGCCTTCGGAGTCGTTTCGACGTTTCTTTTTCTTTTTCTTCTTCTTTTTCTTTCCCCTCTCTCCTTCTTCTTCCTCTTCCTCTTCTGACTCTGTGTCTCCTTTACGTCGCTTCTTCTTCTTCTTTTTTCTTTTCTTCCTCTTACCATCATCATCATCATTGCTATCATCATCATCTTCTTCGCTCTTTCCCTTTTTCTTTTTTCGTTTCTTTCTCTTCTTTCTCTCCTTCTCATCTAATCCATCCTCCTCAGATGACTCCCCTTCCTCTCCTTTCTTCTTCCTTTTCTTCTTCTTCTCTTTTTTCCGTCTCTTTCTACCTGATCTGCTGCTCTCAAGTTCGCTTGATCTCTCAATATGCTTGATATCTCTTTTAGCTTGCCTCAGTATCAACTGTGCCTCTTTGTCGGTATACACTTTGATGCCTTTACTCCTTAGCCTTTCCTCAATGATCTCTCTCTGTGACCTATCAACAAGTGACCCTTGTCTCATGGCCAGTTCTATTTCGCTGTTAGTAATTCCAAATGTATCCAGTTCAGACGTACTAATGATGTATGTTCCTGTTATCTCACCTTCAGAGCTGATAGTGGCTGCACAGAGTCGACCTTTTGGGTCTTTAAAGAAAATCTTTTCGGTCGTGTTTGATAGAAACTCTCTCCATTTTCTTTGCCGGGCAGAAAATGAGAGTTCTTCTTCGCTCTCTTCTGTGAGTACTGAGAGGTGAGGGAACCATGTTCCTTCTCCTAGCCTTTTTCGTAGGAGCTCACTCTGCCTTAATCTTAAAATATTACCTATAAGGAACAAGACAAAGAAATCATTGTTATTATTATATTTCTATTTGCTGTTGTCGCTGTTGCTGCATAATCATTAGTAAATGCTTACGTTCTTTATCTTTAATCATCTCTCCAACTTGGTTCAGTGTGGTATCGATTAGGTTCGTCATATAAAATGCCAGCTGCTGCTGGAAGGATTCAAACTGTGACCCTGCTATCACCAGATCTGGGAACGGGTTATCCTTCCGCATCCTCTCTCTCTTATACCTTGCCCTTCTCTTTGCTGATCTTTTGCAGTCAAGAGGCTGCACTTCGTATAGAGAGTTAAAATATCCTTTAAACATAAGCTCTGATGTACTATACACCATTGAGTCATCATGATATTGATATGGTGCTGCTTCTCCATCTGATGAAGAAAAGGCAGAGTCATAATGACTTGATACCCTATGACTACTTTGTGATGAGAATAACAATCGGTCTTTTGGATAAAACCGACCAGCTGTCCTCTTTGCTCTCTTTGGATTGAAAAGATGCTGATATACTCGTCTTTTTGATCGTCCATAACTAGATAATTGACTCAAATCAATGAGAGAGAGGGTGGCTTTCCACTTGAGGTTCCTACTATCCTGGGCCTCTTGGATTCTTGCTGGAGATGGAAGGACTATTTCGCTAGTAGTCTTATAAAAGTACTGCTTAGTGCCATACTGATAGGAAGATTGGGTCATCTTGAGTGAGAATTGATAAGGGCCCTCTATGAGAAGTGTAGACAGAGGAAGATGCGAGGACGTGACATTTCTTTTCCTTGAAGGTTTTACTTCCCTAGCCAAAGGAACAGTACCTCTTTTCTCTTGAAATACTGACGTTACAGGTGCAGGGAATTGTGATGGGATTTCTACAGTGCAAAGTTTGACATCTTCTTGGACTGGAGGAGGTTCTTCCATTGTAGGCATGCATATAGCATTGTCAATAGGTTCTTTTTTAATGTGAGTGATATTAATAGTAGTCAGTAATGTTGTTTGCTGCAGGTTAGTAACAACTACTGGGTTTGGTTTTGCTTCGTTTTTAGCATCAAATGATTGTGTATTTACAGGATTGACCCATAGAGGTGGGGGGAGAGAAGGAGGAGGAGGGAGAGGAGGAGCAGTCATACAAACAGGAGCTGGTGGAGGAGGAAGAGGGTGATGAATGGTGACCGGAAAAAAGGAGAACGTTTTCTTTGTTCGAACTTTACGCGGTAAAAATGATTTTCTTAGTGTGAATGCACTTGTATGTCCAAGTGGAAATTTATCCCAACTAACATCTTGCTTATTTTTACCTGCAAAAAGACATAATCACCATAGAATGAAATAAATGCTTTACCTGGTAGGTATCTTTTATGCAATTTTGGTAGCATAAATTTCTTGTAATTCCCATCAGTGACAGTTGATTGTGTTGCAGCATTGCTCAATGGTGGAAGCTTAATATTGGATTTTTCTTGAAGCCAAACACCATCAAAGTGGTTATCATTAGGTGAAGCAGCTCTGAGTTGCAGGGACTGGATTTTATAGGTTGCTTGGCCGGCTCCATGAGACTTTCTTTGATCTGTGCTAAGCATTGCTGTTGAGGAGTAGCTCCAGTTTCTCTCACTCTGCAAAGTGTGAGTCAATACTCACAATTTAACAGCAGGAAACTTGATTGGAATTAAACTGTCCTTAGATTCACACTTCACTATTTTGTATGAAACACGTGATAATTAATAGTTACGAGGCGATCCTAGACTAGTAACCGGGAGTATACGATAACGCACTCGGGAAGATGATTAAGTCTCGTAAACTACTAGAATACTGAGGATTACTAATTCTTTACAATGTCCGCAAACATGAATGGCGACATCATGAAAGCTGTTATTTTAATTGGAGGGCCTCATATAGGTAGATATTACGAACATTATACTTCATTTCCACAATATCTATCTCCTCTTAGGTACACGTTTTCGCCCGCTCTCATTTGAAGTCCCAAAGCCTCTGTTCCCTGTTGCTGGTTGCCCCATGATACAGCATCACATTGAGGCCTGCCTTAAAGTAAGAAAAAATGAAATAACATCAAATTAATATTGAATACTTCATGAGAATGTGTTGGAGCCATTTCTTCTTTATTTGCATTATTAGTTTAGGAGAATAGCCACACCCATTGTAATTAAATTTTAATTAATTATTGTTATGTGTAATGATTATTATTGTTTCTAGTTTCCAAGTATCAAGGAGATATTGATCATTGGGTTCTATCAGAGGTCAAGAGAAATGACACGATTCCTCTCTGAACTTCAGAGAAAGCACAACATTACCATTAGGTATGGAAGACTCTGAGAAAATAATTATTGCAATTAAATATATGCACTTAAATTTTGAGCCCCATTTTTGTTAGGACCGATTCAGATTTTTTACTGATTCCTTTCAAATTTTTATCAGGTATCTCCAAGAGCATTGCCCACTGGGTACTGGAGGCGGCCTCTATCATTTCAGGGATCAGATACTCAGTGGGGGAGTCTCGTCTTTTTTTGTATTTAATTCCGACGTGTGCTGTGACTTCCCCGTCAAAGAAATGTACGCCTTTCACAAAGAGACTAAAGGCTGTGTGATATTAGGAACCAAAGTAGAGAAGGAAGAGCGAGAAGGAGAGTTATTATTATAGTTTCTTGTTAGGCGAATGAATCTCAGTCAGTCCATTATGGCTGTATTGTAGAGGATCCTAAAACTCACAAAGTTAGTGAAATGGTTTCCTTATTAGTATTCATCTTGTTCCTGTTATTCATTCATTGTAGGTTTTGCATTATGTGGAGAAGCCAGAGACTTTTGTGAGTGATCTCATCAACGCTGGTGCTTATTTATTCACTCAAGATATATTTCAATTGCTTGGAGATGCTTTCCAATGTAACTATAATGAAATGAATGGGTAAGGCATAGAGCCAATGTAATTACTGTTTACTGTAGTTGACGTAAAGTTTCATAGGACTATATACCCAAGGCCATAGCCCATGGTTTTTTTCCAAAAAATGGCTCCGAAATCACCCCAAATTTTTATTACATTTTCTGATACATATTGATGTCCTTATGCTATGTAGAAAGTTTGAGCTGATTCCGACTTAAAATTTTCCAGTTATGAGCATTTTAAGAAAATGCCAAAATTTTGAAAAATACCCAAGGCTATAGCCCATGTTTTTCCCAAAAAATGGCTCCGAAATCACCCCCAATTTTTATTACATTTTCTGATACATATTGATGTCCTTATGCTATGTAAAAAGTTTGAGCTGATTCCGGCTTAAAATTTTCGAGTTACAGCCATTTTAAGAAAATGCCAAAATTTTGAAAAATACCCAAGACTATAGCCCATGTTTTTCCCAAAAAATGGCTCTGAAATCACCCCCAATTTTTATTACATTTTCTGATACATATTGATGTCCTTATGCTATGTAGAAAGTTTGAGCTGATTCCGACTTAAAATTTTCAAGTTATGAGCAGTTTAAGAAAATGCCAAAATTTTGAAAAATACCCAAGGCTATAGCCCATGGTTTTTTTTCAAAAAATGGCTCCGAAATCACCCTTAATTTTTATTACATTTTCTGATACATATTGATGTCCTTATGCTATATAGAAATTTTGAGCTGATTCCAACTTAAACTTTTCAAGTTGTGAGCATTTTAAAGATATGCTATTGTCTAAAAAATACAATAGTTTATGTTCTTTTCTCTTCTCCCTTTATCTTCCTCACCCTCTCTCTCTTTCTCTCAGTACTCATGATAGTTGCGATGCTATTGATCTTGAACGTACAGTGTTAAAAAAGCTTGCTGCAGGCGGTAAACTGTACCTTTTCATGAACACAGGTTTCTGGAGCCAATTCAAGACAGCTGGGTTAGTCAGCTTTTCACTTGATCATACAATAAATACCCACTCCCCTTCTCCTCTGCCTATAGCAATGCTATATATGCTAACAAGCTTTATCTCTCCCTTTATCGTAAAGCTGATCATTTCCTGGAGCGTTTGGCATCAAGCAATGATGATATTGAGTCACCAGTTATCATTGGAGATGTGAGAATACACTCAACAGCAGTAGTGCACCCAACTGCAGTGGTATGACAATTAAAGACTACTACTATACAATGTGTCAGTTTCTCTCTCTATAGTTGGGTCCCAATGTATCAGTAGGGCCTGGTGTTACAATCGGTGCTGGTGCGAGGATTAAAGAAGCCATTATACTTGACAGAGCTGAAATTAAAGTCAGTCCTGACTTACCTCCACTCTGCCATTCTCTTCTCTTTGTGTAGGAACACAGTTGCATATTGCATTCGATTGTAGGATGGGAGTGTGAGCTAGGGGCGTGGTCACGTGTGGAGGGTTACCCATCTGATCCTAATCCGAATGATCCATTTGGTAACGTTCCTAAGGAATCACTTTTTAATGAAGACGGGCGACTCAATCCATCTATTACCATATTAGGTATGTTATCTAGTGATCATTATGACTCAAAATTTTATAAAAAATAATTTTTAAGGTCAAGGGGTTCGTATTGATTCTGAAGTGATGATTTTAAATTCAATTGTGCTGCCGCATAAAGATATTGGATCTTCTTACCGGAATCAAATCATAATGTGATCATTTGCTGCAATAGCCTATACTTTCTCATCTCTTTTTTTTCTCATTGGCTGTCAGCAACTTGTTCATTTTATAACAAAAATGTAAAAAAGGTTTTTGAAAACATTTTGGACGGAATAAAGTTGTTAAAATAATTGTAAAAAATATTTTTAAAAATATATAAATAATATAATTGCAAGTTTCGGTGATAAATAATATATTGCACACAGAAATTTTATAATTAATAATTTGATGTTTGGAAACATAATGTCAATACCTTATTGGGGATGTCAGATATGTTCATAGTCATTGTCTGATTCTTGTAATATAGCTGGTTCACGTGTGACAACTCTTACCAACCTCCTCAGTCTCTTGATGCTGTACCTTGATCTGCTCTCTCCTCCTGACCTCTCCAGCAATGGAGACTCTTCATCATGATTCTGTAATCCACTCAGTTCTATCTCAGTTGCACTGCTTCTCCTTTCTTCATCAACTTTGTTCTCGGGCGCTAAAAGGTCCTTGCTCTGATTTGTCTCAGATTTGCTTTGTGTGAACATGTCAAAAACCTTCACAAGGTCTCCGCTCAGGTACCAGCCGATGAGTGTGATTGCGAAACCTGGTACAAAGGTCATATAGTTTGTAGCGTGACCTCTTTTGTCGTAAAAGAAGCTACCAACAAAGCCCCAGGTTGTGAAATAGAGTATGTTGATGGCTACGGCAATGGAAACACCAAAAATGAATCGTCTTCTCTTTGCCCTGTTCCTCCATGTTCCACTTTTATAATTAGCCAGTGAAGTGCTTGTTAGGTGGAAGTATATAGCATTACCAATCCAGAGGGCAATTATTGAGAGACCAAGATACATTAGGACTACCAAGTAACTGAACGGATTATAGAAAAGATCAAAAAAGATGATTAGTAACAAGTACATCACAGTGTGTGGCATTGAGAAAAGCAGCCAAAACACAAGTACTTGTGCTATAATATTAAGCTTTCCTCGATGAATGCAGGAGCAAAAAAGAGGAAAAACATTGAAAAAATCCGGTCTTTTTCTTAACCTAAAACAGACAATCAAACCATGTGGTATGCTGAACAGGAGTGCTATTCCTAGCAGTAATACTTGGAATATAGTGAGACAGTATCCACCATCATTAGTCCCCACTAACATACCACAGCCAGTCAGTATTGAAGTGACAATGAATGAGTAAAAGAAAGCACTGTTGATCTGATCCGAGTTAATATATGCATAGATCCTCCTATAGAACCTCTTCCTGTACTTGTATATCAGCATAAAGAGGATGAGCTGGAATAAGAAATAGGACGTGAAGAAGCCAATGTGACGGATGAGTACTATAGGAGAGTTTTTAAGGAGAGGATAAGGTGCTGCATAGCCAATTGCTTGATCATTTGAGTATACAAGCCATGGCAAGGCATGTGCTTTGATGGCATAGCCTTGTAGCTATTGAAAGAGAAAAAGGGAAGAGGTTATCATTTATGAATTGTGCAAAAGTGAGTAAAGTTATGATAAATATTGGAGGTGAGATGATAACTTCAGAACAAATTTGATTTGATAATGACAGAGTAGATTTTACAATTCTCAATGCTCTTAATATTTTTAGGTATAAAAGATGTATAAAATTACCTTCTCAGTAAGTGTGAAAAGAGCTTGATCAATTGTAGAGTACTTTTGGGCAAAAGTTGCAATATTATCAATTCCATTAGTATTTGATACATAATCGAATTGATAAAGATTTGACGTAGAGCACCAACTGCAAGGAAACTGCTTGGTAGTTATGCAATTTAAGATGTCTTCCTCTGAGCCACCAAGAGTAAAATTAATGCTGATTCTCTTTTCAGTATTACCACCGATCATGAAAGGGCAGATATTAAGAGTTCGGTATATATTGTCTTCCACAATGAGTGGTATACGGCCCCAAAGGAACTCTCTCTCTACAAGGCAACTGTTTGCAGGGCATATCGATGAATCGAGATTGCAATTATCACCTGACCAGCAATTGCAGCCATCATTAGCCGAGCAGTTTTTATTTAATGGGATGCAGAGGTTGTACTTGACCCTCACAGAGTGTGGGGGTCTCTCTTGATTGGTGAAGAATGCTCCTGCAAGCCTTCTTAAAGTGACACAGTCCCCTGCTAGAGCATTTTCTAATATTGCTGAAACAAGGTAATGGTCATCTTGACTGGACTGACAGCTGTTGCTATTTGCTGTGTAGAGAAGGAAAGAGAAGAGCAAAATCATCAAGGACAACATTTCTGCATAGTTTGCTTGTCCATCAAGTAGGAGGTATTATTATTTATTAATGTTACTTTTTTGTAAAACGTTAAAATAGGAAAGAATAAGCATGCTTAAATGTGGACAAAACTATTAAGATAGAAAGTTCATTGGTCTTTATTTTCAACCATTGACATTTCTTCAGGCATAGAAGGTAATGTTCTTTTAAACTTTCTATTAATCTTTGGTGTCAGCCCATCAGCTTTTATTTGCATCCTTATGGCAGCCATTGATCCAGGCTTCTGAAAATTATCTTCAACAAGCTGTGTAATGGTCAGCCCTCGTCCTCCTTCCCCTTTTCCTTCTTGTGTTGCACTATCAAAGGAACGTCTTGTTAATATGTCATTCTCAGAGCTTGTGGTCAGATCTATTCCAAGTTTATCGAGCGCCTCCTCTGAACTTGTTTTGTGACGAAGTGACTTAAGCAGTGGGGATCCTTTTGCATCAAGGCTACCGATTGATCCTCTGTGCATTTTGATGCTGTCATTTGCTGGTATCATCAACTGATCCTTTTTCTTTTTTGGCATCATTTTTGCTTTTGGAGGCGAAATATCTGTAATTTTTATTTCTGGAGCAGCGTCTATGAGATCATCTTCATGGTGCAGACCATTCATATATGGAGTGGTAGAGTTTTGTTCAAGTGTTTTGATTGCTTTCTTTAATTGGTCTATCTCTTTTTCTTGCTCTTTAATGAATTGCTCATTTTTGGTATCAGCTTCTTTGGTTGCTCTCTTTCTCTCTTCAGCTAATGCTTTGTTGTGCTGCTCGTGAATCTGCTTCAGTTTGTCTTGCAGCACTCTAAGCTGGTTTTCTAATGCTGCTATGCGTAGAAATGGTTTCTCTGATTCCTATGATGACAATGAAGAGTTTGTACATAATATAAGGACATATTCTCTTACTCTAACTCCAGCTGCTTGAAGGATTGTTACAGCTTCATGTTGTCTTTCCTCTTTTGCAATGTCCAGTGCAGTTTTACCATTCTATTGTATGCAAGCAAAGGAATGTCCATTTGATTATTGGTGGACTTACAGTTGTTTCCATGTTAATGACAGCTCCTTCTTTAATCAGTAGCTCTAACACAGAAGTGTTCCCTTTCCACGCTGCTACATGCAAAGCAGTAAAACCATACTAAAACAAAAAAAATAGGACATAACTACCATATGTTAGTACCCTTAAACTAACTGTGTTGGTTGCATTAATGTCTAAACCAATAGCAATCAGTGCTCTTGCAATTTCATAATGTCCATTGTAACAAGTGGACATCAATGCTGTCCAGCCTTCCTTGCTCCTTGCTTTATCGTAAGCTCCCATTGCCAGTAGATACAATACTATTGAGAGATGACCTTCAGCACTTGCTTCATGGAGTGGTGTGAATCCTCGCTGTGTAAAACAAGGAAGAATATGGGTTTAATCTTAAATTCTGGCATGCTTACTTTTGAGGTGCAATTAATATCCAGTACTTCCATTCGCAGGATGACAGAGACACATTGAAGTTGCCCATAGTGGCTGGCTAAGTGTAAGCAGTTTCGTCCATGCTGAGAAGAAAAAAAGAATAAAGTAATTCATGGTGTGTGTTTGTGATGTCTTTGATGTTATCAACATTTTACTGATATTCATATACTGAGAAATGAGTATAGTCCTTTTGATGTTGTTGTTCTATAGTGTACTGCATCTAATTTAAGTGTTTTTGTTGCATATTAGTTTATCATAAACTCTACACTATATATTATGAGTGTATTAATAGGATTCTTACCCTATCAAGTGTACTGGTAGCTACAGCAGATCCTTTCTCCCCCAATATTCTCTCAAGCTCTTTGCTGTAGCCTTTCCTAGCTGCTATGAGCAACTCGTTAGTGACAGGGGAGGCACAGCCTCTGTTAGAATCTGGGAGCAGGCGGTTTGAAAGCTCATTAGATTGTGCCACTGGTGTACCAGGTCTGGGACTTGCAGACATTTTTTTTGCTTTTGGATTTGTGTGCAGAGATATGGAGGGCGGTGCTCATTATATCGTCACGGTCATGACGTCATCCTTTAATATCACTTAGATCTAATAAGTTCAATTAAAATTTTTGATAATTAAAATGGCCGACATATAGAGGCGGCGCGGAGGAGGTACGAAAGAGAAGAAGTTTCATTTCAACTGTTTACAAACTCCTCCTCTTTGCTGTGTTTCTCCACGACCCCTCGAGCTACCCCTTCCCCTCTTTTTGCTCACAGCTTAATACCAAAGGGAAGAGGAGCAGGTAAGGCTTTAGAGCGCCTCTTGTAATGACAAGGGCCTCTCGTTTGTAATGCTATCGTCTCGTTTATTTATAATGGTCTGTGTGTGTCTGATTTTGTCATAACAGGAGGAAATGGAGGGGCTAGTATTGTGTATACATGATAATGACTCTCTTTGTTTGAATGTTGATAAATATTTAACACTTATTTCTCCTTTAATATCTCCTTTTCTTCTTCCTCTGCCTCTAATAGTTGTACAATGGCCGAAGGTCCTGCTGGTGAAGGAGGCCAATCAAAAGAAGCTCAAGGTCCATCGACAACAGCAGAGAAGCTGTTAGTAAAAATAACACGATATTTATAAATAATTACATTTTATTCTCATTTTTGTTTGCTGTTTGCCATGCTCAATCTCTCATAACAACCCTACATACATACATATAATGTTCATCCATACATATTGCCACACACACTTCATTGCATGTACATGTACATACACACACTCAAGGAGGAAAATGTACATGTACATTCCATTAGATGCCAAATATATGACAGGGAGAAAGCCACAATGAGTAATTATGGTACACGTATGCGTGTGTACTATAAATACTACATGTATGTACAAAACATGCTGTGTGTGTAGAGAAGAGAGAGAGAGAGAGAGGCAAACATACCTTGTTGGCTTCTCCCACTATGAGTTAGTATAAATGTTTATGTTGTATGCATATTTGTGGGTTTTGCCTGCTTACTGATGAAATTTGATACAGACATTGTAGAGTAGAAGTATAATGTATAATGTATGTGACATGTGTAAACAAATTAGCGAGCAGATACTAATGGTACTAATGGCATAAGAATTAAATCATTGTTACACTTCTTGTATTGAGGCCAATTAATAGAACTAGTGGTAGGGACTATCGACCCTAGGACAAAGAATTAGTAGCCATACATATTAAGGTCATCATTATCTATATGTACTCTTGGTAAATGTGTCACATACACAACAGCAGTGACCTACATGTATGGTACCCTATTAACATTATGTACATGTACTGTACATGTATCAGGTTTTCCCACAAAGCATGCTAAGCATATGCTTAGTAACTTTAAAAATTTTACTCACAGGAAGCTAAGCACTATGCTAAAATCCTGCTGGAAACCCCAACATGTATACTCTATGTGTTTTCATGTTTGCATACATTAAAAGCTGACCTTAGCCGATGTTATGTAATTTGGTTTATGAATGATTACACAACTCAGTATTATACACAATGCAGAAATTTCGGTCAATTCCAGTCATAAATTTTTTTATCTTTTTTGTCTCTTTTTCTTTCTCTTTTAGTCAAGAGGTCCTGAGGCTCATAAAGGAAGACAATGAGAGCGAAGTCCTCCAGCTGCTGAGGTCTGATAAAGAGCTCTTACACGAGGCGTGTGAGTCCGGCTCACTGGAAGCAGTTGAGCTTTTATTAGAGAGAAAAGTGACAATATCAGAATGGAACAAAGTAAGAGTGATACCACTAATACATGTACATGTACATGTATATACATGCATGTACATGTATGTATAATGTATGTAGCATAAGTAATATGTAACTACTACAGTTGACAGTTATTTTGATAGATTTGTTGATATGCAGTCTCTGTTGACATTAGACTATCCTTATGCATATTTTTGCTTATTTAATCCCATTAGCAAAGCTTTGATGAACTATTAAAATAATCTTTAAGCTTTCCAGCATAATTATGATGATATCATACTTATATTTATGTGTTATGTTTTGTACGTGTTTAGGCTCATTTGTTGCCACTGCATCTAGCTGCCAAGAAGAATCACATAGAGATAGTCGAGGCTCTTCTAAAGCATGACCCAGATGTCGTTGACAGACCTTCTAAGTATGGAGAGACTCCGCTGCACTTTGCCTGCCTCTACGGACACCTGCCAATGGTTAAACTACTCATTGAGTAAGTGTACATGTAATTTATTTATTATTATTATTTTATTATTTTTTATTATTTTATTATTGTTACTATTACTTTTATTATATTTTATTATTTATTATTGTTTTTTTATTGTTAATATTACTTTTATTATTTCCCTATCTTCTTGTAGTTATAAAGCTGATGTTCGTGTTGATGACAGGTGTGGTAATACGGCATTGCATTATGCTGTGAGTAGCAATAATCCTGAGCTGGTTGAGTTCCTGTTGCGTGATAAAGATCTCGTGCAACTCATTAACAAAAAAAATCAAGTAAAGCTAACCTGATTAAATATAATTAGGTATCTTTTGATTTATATGTTCTCCTCCCTCTCTCCTTCCTTCTTCTTTTCTCTCTTCTCTCTCTCTCTCTCTCCCTCTCTCTCTTCTCTCCCTCTCTCTCTTGTTCTCTCTCCTAGTTCCACCATTCTCCTATACACAGAGCTGCCGTATTACAGTGTGTGGAGGTTATTGAGGTATTATCCAATTACAAGGCAAGACTGAACATCAAAGACAAGGTCAGCTATACACACACACACACACTGTAATATCAGTCCAACCTGAAATCTGATTCATATACTTGTATTGTCAATTATTATGTGTCGCTATTCTTCATTAAACTAATGCTATAGATACATGTATCAAAATGTCCGTTTCCTCTCTTTCTTCTTAGAATGGTCTAACAGCGTATGACATGGCGAGCCTTCTCTACGATAACAAGAGGGTCCTTCATTCAAAGGACGGCTCCAATAAGACCGACACTATCATGCCCATTGGTTCAACGTCACGAGTCAGTACCCACTTGTCTCCCATGTCAACCATGAGTGACTATCACAGCCGCTCGTCCAGTTTCTCTCATTATCGTCCATCAGTTGGCAGCATTGACGGATCCACTACCAGTCTCCCTGTAGCAGCTGTGAGTGTGCATATACATGTACATGTAGTCTTTATTGTATATTTATTGTGTTAAACGTTGATTGTTTTTGATAATTTTTACTGGTTTTATTACTTTTTTATAATTTTTATTTATTTTTTATTGAAGGGCATTCAAAAGAAAAGAGCATCAGCCACTTCATCAAAGAGACCAATCAATCTCTCCTTCTCTCATTCCTACTCTAGACAAGTAACATTATTTAATTAATTACTGTAATACATGTACTGTATGTATTTTCTCTCTTTCTTTATTAGGCTAGTGCTGCTTCATCCCAGGGCAGTCGTGGCTCAGAGATTTATCTAAAGGACAAGGAACAAGCCGAGAAATTATCAGAAGCACTTGAGAAACAATCATCAATTGATGGGCTGGAGAAGATTGTCCTTGATCAAAGTTAGTGGCAAAGCCATTGTGTATTGTTGAAACACTTCGTACACCTTTTATCCTCTTTATATCCATTTCTCTCTCTCTCTCTCTTCATCACAGCTTCCTATGAGCCCCCCATTGATATGTTCTTTGTTCCTCCAATCGAATCCAGTACCATGACGTCTAATAAAACTTCCTTCCATTCGAAAGATCACGACATTAAATTTCAAATAGACGATGGCTACTGGGCCCTGGACTCTAACGAGACCATTGATTGCAAGATGGCCGCCACCCTCCACTGGAACAGTGCCTTCCCTTCTGACTATGTGTTTATTAGTCCGATAGTGTTCGTGAGCTGTAAGGCTAAGAGGTCGTGTGAGGTTAAGCTCACTCTCCCTCACTCCCTTCATTTCCCTTCAGAGAAGCACCACAAGTTAGATTCATTACATGAACCATATTATTATAGCTAGAAAAGTTATAGTTGGAGAATTTGGCAAATTGCTTTTTTGAAAAGGTTTATCATTTAAAATTTTAATTAGGCACACTACAATCTAATGTAAACCAGGGTTAAAATTTTGGCAGATGGGAATAGTACAACCCAGTAGCGTAGGAAGGGGGGGCTAGTGGGGTTCAAGCCCCCCCCAATATTTTGCAAGGGGGCAAAGCCCCCTCAATATTTGGGAAGTGCTAAAGCAATTCAAAGTAGTAATATTAACAAACAATTTACATGCATTTTTTAATAAATTAATATTATAGCAAATAATCTTTTTAACATTAATGTCTCATATAATCTTAGCAAGTCAGCCCCCCCCAAAATTTGGCCTTGATACACCTTTGCAACCAAATTGTCTTTCCTTCTCTCTCTCTCTCCCCCCCTCTCTCTCTTTCTCCCTCTCTCTCTTCCAGGAGGATTATTGTATTCTTCACTAACACTGTTAGCATTGAAGCCATAGTCTCTTCACCGTCTCACAGAGAATTCCGTCGTTTGGCCACCTCCGATCTCCTAGTTGATATGCACAGTGTCTCCTTTACCACGTCCATTAGGTATCCTTCTCTCTTTGTGGTTGCGATGACTCCCCCTCCTCCCTCCTTTCCTCTCCTCCCCTTGAGATGCTGTCTGTATGTGGCATGCCCCAGTGATAGGGATCAGTACATTACTAATACTGATATATCGGTCTATGTGGCTATGAATCTAAAGACTGTTGAAATGGTGAGTAATTAACACTCGATTAACACTTAATTAACACCTCACTAATTATGATAATTACTATACTATGTGCTATCTGTGATAATGGGTGTGGCTTTAGTATAGTTATTAGTTCATTAATTAATAATGTTTTAAGCTCTCTCTGCTGCTTTTTTGGTTTTTAGGCAATGAAGACTGATGTGATACCACACGAGTACACGTTGGAGGAGAAAGGGTTTGTTCTTTCTGGGTCAGTCCTCAAGATTAACTGTAAATCAGAGAACAAGGATTGGCAGATAACTAGGAGAGGAAGTGGCCATGTAAGCTCATTTTACATTTTCTGATACATATTGATGTCCTTATGCTGTGTAGAAAGTTTGAGCTGATTCCGACTTTAATTTTTCGAGCTACGGCCATTTTAAGAAAATTCCAAAATTTTGAAAAATACCCAAGGCTATAGCCCATGGTTTTTTCCAAAAAATGGCTCCGAAATCACCCCCAATTTTTATTACATTTTCTGATACATATTGATGTCCTTATGCTGTGTAGAAAGTTTGAGCTGATTCCGACTTAAAATTTTTGAGTTACGGCCATTTTAAGAAAATGTCAAAATTTTGAAAAATACCCAAGGCTATAGCCCATGGTTTTTTCTGAAAAATGGCTCCGAAATTACCCCCAATTTTTATTACATTTTCTGATACATATTGATGTCCTTATGCTATGTAAAAAGTTTGAGCTGATTCTGACTTAAAATTTTTGAGTTACGGCCATTTTAAGAAAATGTCAAAATTTTGAAAAATACCCAAGGCTATAGCCCATGGTTTTATTCCGAAAAATGGCTCCGAAATCACCCCCAATTTTTATTACATTTTCTGATACATATTGATGTCCTTATGCTGTGTAGAAAGTTTGAGTTGATTCCGACTTCAATTTTTCGAGTTACGGCCATTTTAAGAAAATGCCACGTACATTATAGTATGTATGTACATGTACATGCTTTAAGTTAAAATACTCCTTTCGGTTCTGCTATAATTTTAGCTGTTCAATTACCGATGTCTTCCTTTTAGTTCAAATACAATCAGATATTGCTTGGTCCAGAGACAGAGCTGGAGACATCGGTCTCTCACAAGCGATCCTACCCGCCTAAAGAGTCCTTGTTTGTCGAGTGCCACGACCATAATAAAGTACTCAAGTGTAGGATTAATGTTGAGTCTGATGGCAAAGAACTAGTGAATATGCTAGTGACACCTTATGCTCCAGTTAGACGTAAGAGAAAAGACTATGAAATATTTTGTGTGTTAATTACCCTTTCTCTCCCTTCTTTCTCTTTCTGTTTTTTCTCTCTCCTCTCTCTCTTTATAGAGGCTCCTACTTTGGATCCATTTAATTTAAGAGAGTCAATAGATTTATCTAATAATGAACTGAGCAGTAGTAGTAAGCTACAGCACAAATTATTATTAATATATTATTTATTTTATTAGCTGAAAGTATTTCAATGAAGACGTCAGTTGTTTAGCAAAATTCTAATTCCAAGCTATATTTAGACCCCGCCCCAACCACGCCCAACAATGAAATTTAATTAATAATCATCTCCTACTATTATTTAAATTATTATTATTATTATTTTAACAGGAAATTAATATGATTCAATAATTTTTAATTTTGTCCTTCGACTTTATTATTTTTTAGTCAGTGAATGTCTTAAAAGTTCGTTTGTGTGAAAGAATATATTTTGCTATTATTTATCTAATAAAAATCTTTTATATAAAAAATTATTAATAGTATAATTTTAAAAAATCAATCTAAAATTTTTGCAATTGTTCTGAGCTATTGATGGCAATCAGTCCAGTATATTTATTGATTTAATATTATAATATTTTTGGCTGAAATAAATGTTCTAATATTTGAGAAAATAAACTAGTTTATAATTTCAAGGTTCAACGCTATAGTCAATCAATTAATCATTATTAAAGTTTTTTTTTTAAAACGTCTCGTTAATCATTCATCACTCTTAGGGGAGTTAGGGGTTGCTTCCTTGGCAACTGTGGCCATATCCCACTCCTTCATAAAGAGTGACGGAATACTTTGACCGAAATAAAACTTTGCGTTGGTTGTGATGGCTTCGTAACGCTTCAACTCAAGATACTGGGGAGTTAGCTTCAACTAAAAACAAGAAAATAAATCGTGAAAATTAATGCAATAATTCTCCTAACGTTATTGGCATCCGATTCTTTCTGTGCTGTGTAGTAATTGGCGTCAGCTTGAGCTATTATCCGAGCACTTTTCGTCTCGTCGTCGATGCGAGACATTTCCTTTTGCTTCTCCCTCTCCATCACTTTCTGCTCAAACTGGATCTTGGCCACCTCAGCAACTTTGTTTGCCTCTAAAAAAATTAAACGATAACTGTCAAACTTGCTGGATACATGCAACAAAATGCAATGAAACTAGGGGTGTTTTCAGAGCTATTTTTTGGAAAAAAAGCATGGGTTTACATTGGCATATGTGTCTTTAGCTTTTCATAATTGTAGTCATTATCGACTCAAATGTTTTCCATGTGAATTAGTGGAACTATGAGTAAACTCACACACACAGTGTTTGAAAAACTTACCAATTACTGCTTTCTTTCTATCAGTTTCGGCTTCTTTTTCAATCACTTTCTGTTTCTGTATTGCAATGAGGAGCTTGGTCTTCTCTGCTTCCCTAAAAACAACAAGGAAAGGAAAGTAAAAGCAGAAGAAAAAGATGATTAGACACTTACATTAATTCAAAGTTTTTCCTAATGCTCTCCGGTATCTTTGGTTTGGTCACTCTCACAGAATGAACCGAGAGACCTGGGGCCATCTTATCTAAATCAGTTTGAAGAGTTTTTCTCAGATTTTCATCAATTTGATCTAGAGAGAAGATACATACGCATTAAGCTGATTTAAGCAGCCAAAAATGATAAGCAACAGCAAAAAAAAAGACATAAAAAAAGAGGAGAAAATAACTTACCAAATAAATCAATGTAAACTTGTTGCAATGAGTGAGAGCTACAAAACTATTCAAAGATATCATAATTGACAAAAAGAAACTAAGCAATCAAACCTGGTTCAGCTCATGGTGGACTTTATTAAATATGAGGGTCTTGTCATAATCGGCAGTGAACTTTCTCACAACATCATGAGCTAATAAAAACAACAAATAAATAAATAATAAATAAATAAATAAATAAATAAATAGGTAAATTAATTTGGTGTTAGCTTATAATTGAATCTCAGGTTCCAGGAAAAAATTTAATTAGGAACCATCACTGTAATAAATACACCAGAGTTAATCAGTGAGTTTCTTTGTAATACTAGCCATTGTAAATAATATGTAATACAAGTACATGTACATAATATGCACAGGTATTTAGGCACACATGCATAATGTGCATTGAAAATAATTAAACAAGATAGAAATTCAACACGCATTGGAAAATGCACATTATTAAAAATAAATGCAAACGATACTATTATGTAAAAGGAGAATACAGAATGCAGTCTGGTTTCAATGTTATAATTGCGGCTGTTGTATGTTATCTCTGATTAGCAATTTAGCATACAACTGTTGTAGAGATTTCTATCTCATTAGTGTTGTAAGGCTGTTGTATGGCTGCAGGCTAAAATGCAAAACCAGCATTAACTTTCTCTCTCCTCTCTCTCCCTTCCTCTCTCTCTCTCTCTCTCTCTCTCCCTCTCCCCCTCTCTCCTCTCCTCACCGTGATCCCTATCAAGAACATTAACCACCTCGACTCTATCAAAGTATATCATGACTCCTCCACTGGTACCACACGGAACATTTTTAACCTCGTCCGTCTGTAAAGTGACCTGGACACAGACAATAACTATTAATAACCAGGGGTGGGGCATTACCTGCACTAGCTTGTAAGACGTTAGGAAAGGTATCATGAGGTGATAGCCTGATCCATGAACACCGTTTAGTAACGCTCCACCCTAAAGTAACAAAATTAATTAAGGATTGTTTATAAAGGCCTTTCACACCAGCAGTTTCTAAAGCGCTTTGTTGATACAGCTGAAATAATGCAGCATCGATCTTGACCAGACTAGCAGCTGAATTATGTATCGTTTTGTGTTCTTGTTGCCATTGGTTTACATTGGTCACATTGCATCACTTCGCAATGTGTTCGTATCAAATACCTCACGAGCTGCAAGGTGAAGTGTGAGTGACGCACATTAATTCGAAATCACTCTGGTGTGAAAAAGATTAATGCGCATTACTTTTGCTAGTGTGAAAAGGCCTTAAACATCCTTAAAATTAACGATTGTTGGTGTGTTTTTATTTTGTTGGTTTGTTTTTATTTTATTTCTTCCTCCCACTCAATTTCCAGCCCCTCAAAATTTTAAGTCTTGTTTGTCCATGTACTGGTACCATCATTACTCTATCAGTCTATCTCTCTCTCTCTCCCTCCACCACTCACCCTGTAATACACAGCAACATGACCTATATATACAGAGTAAAAAGGAAAGAGAGAGATAAGAATAAAGATGTCGAGGTAAAGATTACAAGTTTCATTCACCTTCTTCAATCTTGTGTAAGGAGAAGTTGACGACTACAGCAGCGACAGCTACAAACACGATCAACACAACTGCAGCAGATCCAGCCATTGCCTTAACTTGATGATTGACCAATCGAGCATAGACGACACAAAAAAATCCAGAAAATCTAACAAGTCAGAGCCACGCCTATCAGTTAATTAAAACCTGCAGCTGTCACAACAGAATTTTCATTTGAAAACCACCAAAGATTGTGCTTCATAAATTAAAAATATTTTATTCCATTGCAATCAAAAAATCGATCAAGCTTTTAGTAAAAGTTTCTTATATTTTAATACTCTGTTTGACTCTGGTTCCCTCTTAACCTGTCGAGAAAATAATTAAAAACGAGACACTAATAAATTAAGAAGCTACCAGAGCTCTCTTCTTGTCCTGTGTATCTTGTCTGTCTTTCTTCATTTTCTCCTGCCATGCTGTCTGCTTCAATAGCTGTTTCTTCTCTCTCATGCTTTTCACCGGCTCCTTTTTATTTTTCTTTGCTTCTTTTCTACGCAGACGTCTTTCCTTCCATTTCAGTTGCCATTCCACTCTCTTGTTAGTGTGCTCCTTCATACTAGGATCACTTGTTAAGCCTCTCGTTAAGTCCGTCTCATAATGTTTCTGCTTCTGTTGTTAAAAGAAAAAAAAATTAACTCTCCATTATCCCTCTGACCCCCTCTCTCTCTTCAACCCTTTTCCTTTCCTCTTTAATTGCATTACTTGTTTGTCTTGTCTTTTCCTCATTAGTTTAAGAGCTCTGCTGTCTTCAAGTGCAAACTCAACAATAGGACGCTGCACAGAAAAAGAGAATAGAAAGAGAAAAAGGAAGAATATACATGTACATGTACATACAGATCCATTCATCACGTTCATTATTATTTTCATTATACTTTATCAGGTCCGTGTATGTCAGGGTTATTGTTAAGGTTTCTCAAGGCAGTCAGTGCCGAGTGATGGTCTTTGAATTCCACAAACCCAAAGCCAACAGGGCGTCCTAGCCCGTCAGATAAAAACTGCTCCTTGCTTCTCATCAATTTCACCTTTTAAATATAAATTATATGATAATAATCAGGGCTTCCCACGAGAGCTAAAGGCATTCCTCATGAACCGACAAGCCTTAATTATACATGGCATACAGCTTTTGGAGCAAATTTAAAAATTATTTAAAATTCAACTTTGATTGGAATTAGCTCAAACTTTCTACACAACATAAGAGCATGTATATGCATAAGAAAAAGTTATAAAAATAGCAAATTCTCTCTTTTTCATTTTTGGTGAAATTTGGCCAAAGACTCTGTACTATAGTACAGGGTGATTTGCCAAATATTTTGCTGACAAAAAGCTGAGCACTATAATCATTTAAGTTTTAAAATGATACACTATTATAACAACTATCAACAAGAATAGTGATAGAGTTGCTATCACAAACAAAATGCTATCATTTACTTGTTTGACAATTGCTTGTCTGTCAGAATGTTGCAGTATGAGTGACTTCAACGATTTCTCAGTAGTTGATGCTGGCAGATTCCTCACTGATAGCCTATTCAATAACAAAAGATTGTTGAAACTAGTATACTTTGTTATATTAAATGATCAACAATGAAAGTTTTCTTAAGTAAAATCAATTAAAAGTAGTGTGCAGTAAATGCAGCAATAATACAAGTACATTATTACCTTGTTTTTGATATGAAATAATGTGGATTTTTTAGTTTCACCTTTCTCTCTTGCAATGACTACACAAAAAATAGGACATTACAAGTACAGTACATTATGTATTACTTTCATTCGCTTTCTTGTATCAATCTTAGACATTTCCTGACCAGCTTCTGACAATGGATCAATATCTAAAATAGTAAAAAAAGAATAAAATAATAATGCAAGACCGGGTCTTTCAGTATTTCTATCAAGCAGCATTAGCTCACATCCTTCCTCCAGTAGATACAGGTTTCTTGAGTCTTTCTCTACCAGTTGTTGCTGCTTGGCTGCTTTCTTCATGTGTGACAGTTCTTCTTTACTGACTGCCATGTCCACCATTAGCTTATCCTGCCCAATCCATAATCCCTTTAAGAAATAAAAAAATTAACAGCAAATCCTTCACTTTCTTTCTCCCTCTCTCTCCTTCTCTTTCAGCTTTAAAGTTTGCTAGTAAATACATGTAGTAAACTAGTATTATTTACTATTCTATCAAAGTCTACTATTCTTACTTCATCAGATTTTGCTGCTTCAATACAGGTGCTGATTGAGTCTATTGTCTTGTATTGTATGAAAGCTGATCCTTTGCATTTCTGTGTATTAGCATCAAGGACTGGCCTGCAGTATCTGATGGATCCAAACTGTCTGAATACACTAGCTAAATCCTCTTTATCAACATCATATGGTACATTCCTAAAATAATAATAATAACAACAAATAATATACATGTAGTGCTAGATGTTACCTGATAAAAAGTGTCTTTCCTTCTTTGACATCATTAACATGCTTTGGTACTGGTACATCTTCATCCATTGACTCTTCCTCCTCTTCCTCTTCCTCCTCTCTATCTCCTTCCTCTTCATCCAGTGATTCAGTTCCTTCTTCTTCTTGTTCTTCTTCATCTTCTTTTTGCTGAGTCTCTTCAGTTTCCATCTTTACCTCTTCTTCATTTTTTGCTTCCTTTTGTGATTGATATTTCTCTCTTGGTAATACCCAATCAACACGAATTTTTCTACCTAAGATAAAATAAATTAATGAAGTACATGTAATACATGTACATATATGTAAAATTTGCTGTACCTTTAAATTCAGTCTCATTTAGATTCTTCAATGCTTTGTGTGCATCAACAAACGACTCCAACTGAACAAAACCATAGCCTAAACTCTTATTCTCTAACAAAATAAAATAGAAAAATAAACAGCCATTCCTCCTACCTCTCTCTTACTTTCATTCCTAACCACCTGTGTACTAATGACAGGACAATGTGCACTAAATAATTCATTGAGATCATCTTCAGTAGTCTAGTGAGTATAATCACTAATGCGTGGTCTAGCTGATTCTGCTAACCTTAAAACTGATATTTCTCACAATGAGACGTGATTTCTTAAGTGATTTTCTGTTCACTCTCTTGATCACTTTTGATAGCAAATCAACTTTAATAGTTTTACCTTTAAAAAAATTAAATATTAACAGCTCAAGTAGGACATACAACATAAAGAGGTGAAGCACATACCATTGAGTGTTCTTGATTGAAGAGTGTCCAATGCTTTCTTAGCTTCTTTATGAGTCTTGAATGTAACTGAAGCTGTCAATTCATCTTTACCTGGAGAAGAGAGAGATAGAGAAATAAAATAAGCAAAAAACTGTAAAAATGATAAAGTCCTCTCTTTTACCTGGTACAGGATATTCCAGTGATTCAATGTTCCCAATCTTACGACAGCGAACCCTCAATTGCTTATTAGTTGTGTCATCAGATAATTGTGTTATCAATATGGTACGACCAATATCATAGACATTACTATCACTCTTGAACACTAAGAAGAAGAAGAAGAACAACAACAACAACAACAATAATAATAATACCGACAATGGTTCCCCACTAGCTGTACCGTAATTTATTGTACTACATGTACATGTATATTTTACCATTATCATCATCCTCTTCATCATCATTGCTTTGTTCCTCTCCCTCCTCCTCCTCTTCCCCTTCTTTCTCTTTGTGACGAGCAAACATCATGTGAACTGGACGACTTGATATAACTTTAACATGAGATTTAGCTTTAGCTGCATCATCCCTGTAAAAATAGAGGCATCAATATTAATTGTAATTTAGATTAAAATACTTTTTAAAGTAAGTGACATATCCAAATCCTCTACACTGACTTTCACCTACATTTTTATGAAAAATAAAAATGACAATTTTATTTATAAAATTTGCCTCTACCTTTATTTTTAACAACAAAGGCTCTTCTCAGTTTTCCATACGGACTAAACACTGTCTGTAGTACCTCATCTGTGGTAGAATACGGTAGATTCCTTACAAATAAAGTACTAGAGAAATGAACACGTGGCTCCTTATGGTCGAGACCCGCCATGACACCTAGACCACGCCTTTAATTAACCTCAATCCGCGCCCATCAATGAATAAATTAAATTTGAAAATTGAAATGGAGGCAAAAAAGGAAGAAATCACTTGTAATGGAAACGGCATCTCTCATGCTAGCAGTGTAAAGAAGAGACTTGATTATTTAAACTGGGATGAGTATTTTATGGCCGTCGCTTTCCTTTCTGCTCAGAGAAGCAAAGACCCTCATTCACAGGTAATGATAAATTAATATCATTATGAATAATGTAATTAATTAGTGTATTACATTACATTTATTTTATGTGTGTGGATAGGTTGGTGCCTGTATAGTTAGTCCTGATCGTAAGATTGTTGGTATTGGGTATAATGGTATGCCCAATGGTTGCAGTGATGATGAGCTACCATGGAATAGAGAGGCAGAGAACAGATTAGATACTAAATATCCTTATGGTAAGAGAAGAGAGAGGGAAGGAAGGAAAAGGAGACCTTGTGTGCATGTGAAATAGTACATTATAGCCTCTTTTAATGGACATTCTTTATAGCATACACCTCCATTTAACGGACAGCACCTACATGTAGTGTACCAATTACATTCCTTACTGTATAAACTAACCTCCACATAAAGGACACCTCTGTAATAAACAAAATCTCTTGTACCAAATAGTTATAAGTTTGTTATGTAGAGGCTGCACTGTATGTTGTAATTTTTATTAGTTCTCATTGATACTAGATACCTCTTTCTTCATTTTCATTTCTTTCTCACTCTCTCTCTCCTTTCTCCTCTACAGTGTGTCATGCTGAATTGAATGCTATCCTTAATAAGAACTCAGCTGATGTTACAGGATGTACTATATATGTTGCATTGTTCCCTTGTAATGAATGTGCTAAGCTGATCATACAGTCTGGTATCACTGAGATATTATATGTCAGTGATAAATATCATGATACTGATCACATGATTGCTAGCAGGAAACTATTGGACATGGCTAAAGTTAAATACAGGTTAGTAGAATTATTGATTATAAATATTATCACTTTATTAAAGTAAATACACATGTACTTAATAAAACATTGAACAATCACTTCTATAAACTGTCTATAAAACCTAAACTATATTAAGATCAGTCCTGTTATTAGGTAACATATAGTTACTCAATTTAAAATTTGCTAATCTGCTTTTGGCCTTATATTGCTAAGACACTCTTGTAGTATTCTTTGAGGATATGGATCCTTACTAGGTTTACCATACACTATTGCACTGATCCCAGATTGTACTATAAGTTTAGCACAAGTTTCACATGGATAAGAAGTGACATATAGTGTACATCCTCTAACTATTGGTCCTCCTAATATTGCCCTGTATTCAGCATGGGTGACTATTGAAAAGGAGTATGTAGTAAATGTATATAGCCTTTTAAAACACTAACTGTATTCTTTATTATGTTCAATTTCTCCAAGTTCCATATCTTCAGGGTATCCACTGTGTCCAACTGCCATTACTTGTTTGGTTGGTGACACTATGCATGCTCCAGTCTGAAATATACATGTACACGTACATTTTTGCTATTTGCATATTTATAGCTCTTACTCTTGAGTCTGTTGTGTCAAATTGTCCCGGCCTTTCTTTTGACAGTTCTGCTATTTTCATGAAGAAATCTTCCCATGTGAGAGCATTTTTGTATGGCCCATCATCATTAGGCTGCGGTGGACTAAGTATTCTGCTATTAAGTGTTTTAACCACTTCATTTTTATCAAATTTATTTAAAACTGACTCTTTCAGGTCCCTACAATTTAAAAAATATCATTGATGCTAAACTTAGGATTGATTTACTGCTACTGTATAGTAGGTTTTTCTGAGGATAAAAAATTTTGTGGATTTTTAATTTGCAAAATTGAATTCCTTGAAAATCAATTTAATATGGTAAAAGATGGCAGAATAGGTGAAATTCATGGAAATTAATTTTGTGAACCTCTGGATACAGGTCATTTGCGAAAATTATTGTCCTCAAAAAAACTGCTATACGGTATTTCATTTTTTATACTTTAGTTCAATGTTGTTGCTTTTTAAAAATTTCTCTCCATTCATCATATCTTTGTTTTCTCCTCTTTTTTCGTTTCTTGTGAACATACAGTAAACTACTTCTTTTATTCCAGCTAGTTGTATTGCACGAGCACAGTCTTCATCAGGTTTTAGTGTTACGTATATTGTACAACCATCAAGCTTATTTCTGGTCCTATTTGTAATAGCATTAATTGCTGCATGAACCACTACAAATTAGAATAATAATTATATTATTGTAGCTGTGCTAGACTACCATAATGATCTTTTATTTTTGATATCTCTCCCTTTTTGCTTTTTTCTTTTTCATCTTCTTTTTTTTCTGATGACCATGAGAATATTTTGTCATTATCCCTTGTTTTAACATAAGGCATGGCATTATATCCAATCCCAACTATTTGATAAGATTTTTTGTCAGCAATACAAGCACCAACCTGTGTAATGATAATCATTATTTATGAGGTAATTATATCAGCTTACTGGTGTCCTGGGGTCTTTACTTCTTAAAGCAGCTAAACAAGCTATCTTCATGTAATATTCATCCCAATTATTAGATTCTCCACTTTCTTCTGGAAATGATTCTGTTTCTTGTTGTATTTGTGCTATTTTTGCTACTACAGACTCTTCTGGTTCCAGTGGTGAATCAAGTTGTTGTAATATTTGTATTTGTTCACGAGCCTGCTTTTTAACTTTATTTGCTTTTTCTATTTTTTCTTTTAATTTTTCAAATTTTTCTGTTTTTTTTTCTCGATCTTGCTCTAAATTTTCCATTTCTTTTTTTACACTTTCCATCTCTGCTATCATTTTTTTGAACACGCATTCCATTTTATCTTCCACTCGTTCCATTTGCTTGATATACATGTATTCTGATGTTTTGTCCCATTCTGTTTTTATTCTAGTTATTTCTTCCTCCATTTTGCTTGCCATTTCACTTGCTATAACTAGATAAAGAATCAGTACATGTAACATATAGTGGGATTTATTGATGAGGAATTAAGTTCTTAAATTACAGGAAATTGCGAAATTAAAATTAGTTGCCAGTAAGAGATGATAAATTCACCAAAATTTAACCTGCAAACCTACCAATTTAATCAGCTCTGCTAAAAAATTTTTCACCACCAATAAATATGTGTTATAAATTATACTATGTGGCTCTGTGCTGATATTTATTTTTTATTCAATAGACAATTCATTCCTTCAATAAAGACACTAACAATTGATTTCTCATCTATTGATGATTGTGTGTATAATCACTGGACACAATAAACAACAATTAGTACAATGAATGCCATACACTTTCTATGTAAGTTATAACTAATTAAACTTGACCTTGACATTAATGTATACTGTATCTTGTTAATTTGTTGTTTTATTAATTGTTGGTTTTACTTATTCATTTCTTATTCTCATACACTAACTGCCTTGTCTTAGCAGTTATAATTGTCTTACTATCTGTTCCATTATTCTGTCCACTTTCTGGTGTTAAATCTCAAATTATTTACAAATGAATTTTCCTTGCTGTTGGTAGCTGTACACATATAATAACACAATTTATGGATTCACAGGGGAATTTTTTGACTTAATATTGTAATTTCTATAGTCATTCTTATTCAATAGGTAGTATAGCCCATTAAAAAGATTTATCACTTGATAAATCACTGGTCAGGATAAATAACTATCACACTTTCTACATGTACATGTATTTAAGCCTTGTAATGTTATAATTTTGTGAGTTTGTTTCTTCTTATTTTGTAATAAGTTACTATTATACTAACTTGTCCTCTCCTATAGTCTCACTATTTCTTGTTACAGTTCTATACAGTGTGGCCTAATATTAAATATTGTATACACTATACATTACCTTTCTTTACTGGAGTAGCTTATACTGACTGTTAGTAGTCTTCTCTTCTCTTATCTTGTACTCCCTCTAGTCTGATCTCTCAGTAAACACTAGTGAGTAGCTTATTATATACAATTATGAAGATGTACTTGTACGTGTACTACTGATCACGCGATGCCAACGGTAGTCATAACACATTTCCATATATGGTCATAAGTATTTTGAATTTTGAATGTGTATTGTGTATGCCAACTATACATAGTGACAGTAGTATTGATGAGTAGGAGTCAACTTGTGTGTAGATAATATTCGTGTGTTTGTTTAATTTGTTGTTCTTTTAATGTTATTTTTGTTGGTTTAAGTAACAGTATTAAAGTCCATTTGCATTCACCTGAGCCCAGGAAGTGATTAGAAACCCCACCCAGTAATTAACACAATGCAATAATATTGTGAAAAGTATGGCTGTACTTTCTGCATGGGGTATGCAACCAACTTGGAGCTAAAGAGCTATAGCTGCTTCTTAAGTACCACAATAGATGTGGCAAAAGGAGAGGAATGCACTGGTATGTTTATTTTTACAATAGAACTTGTAAGTCAAAAGTTATAGCAAGAAAACAAGGGCTCAGGTGAATTATTATGTATACATATGTGATATAATTAGTTTATATTTTTCAGCTAACAAGGATCCTGATGTCTCCCTTTTTTACACACTCAACAATGAGAGGCCCAACCCTTTTCAAGTTTTTGGAGAAAAATGAACACAAATGGACTTTAGGTGTAACTAAGATGTACATGCAGCAAGTAGCATGTAAAGTGAGAGACATTAATGAAATAAACTGTCTCCTTTCACCGAAGTAGCTTCCTATTAGCCTCTTCCTATAGTAAACATGTTTTTATATTTTTGCTCCTTATACCGTATAGCAGGTATATTTTGTCTGGAAAAATGTTCGTTCTAAGCAGGATCAGAAATTTTCGTCCGTTTTATTTTTGTTCTGAGCAGCCATTTTGCACACGTGGCATTGAGGAAACACCCTTTTCGTTTGGAAAATGTTCGTTCCACAAGGAATGAGAATGAAAAGAATGAAATTAAACTCGAACGGAATATACCCGCTATTCAGTATGCTACATGTAGCTCAACATTAATTATACTGTTTAAGGGTGAAGCTGGCCAATAATTGTTGTGGATATGGTTGTAGTACATGTATGTAAAAGTTTGAGCTGATTTCATCTTAAGCTTCTTGAGTTATGAGCGAATAGGCTAATTTTGGAAAAATTCCCTGTACTATAGCCCATGTAATATTCTTCCCATTGTCTCCTCCGTTGCTTTGTCTTGCATTATTTCCATCTCATTCTCTACTTAGCTGCTTCCAATAGCTCTTTTTTATCATCCCCTGACTTGCCTGCTATTACAATATTACTTCTAATAGTGATTCTATCACTTCCTCTGTTAGTACTTTAACTCCTACTAATAGTTCTTGTACATCATTCTCTGTTAGTGAATCATCTGCTTCTTTTATTAATTTTTCTTATCATTTTCTGTTGGTGCTTTAAGCTTTTCTTTCATTTCATCAATGTCAGTTTTTAATCTCTGTGCTTTTTTAGTTTTTTATTTAGTTCTATTTCTTTTGCTTTTTCATTTAGTTTTCTTAGTTCTTCTATCTGAAATTTATTATTTTTCTCTATTTTTTTTCCTTTTACATTTTCTTTATTTCTGCTATTATTCATGATTCATTTTGTCTTCCACTTGTTGCATTTGCAGGAGTCAACTTGTGTGTGTGTCTGGACAGTGTTAGTATCTTTATTTAATTTGTTGTTCCTTGTTGATGCTAAACAATTCCATTTCATACACAATGGAAAGTATTCTAGTGACTCTTGTTTATCTGTTTATTATGATTATGAATATTTTGTTATTATTCATTAGTAATTAAGAGGTAGTGCCGCACACCTTAATTATTATTCATGACACTTGCCATCTCATCATAATCTAATACTAATAACTATTAATACTAATACTAGTCTATAAATAATGCTACTAACACTACATGTAGCAATACTAATATAATAATAATGTTTTGTAATACTAGATATAATTCTGATTCACTATTTCACTACTGCACGTCAGTTATTGTTATCTTTGAAATTTAAGTATGGCCTGGTTCTTCAATAGCAATACTGCGACTTGCTTCATCTTGGCTCTCATTTATACTGTCTCCATTCCCATATTTTCTATCAAAGAAGCTTATTAAAGCCACGTACAATGAAACCAACCTTATGTTTGAAGGACCTAAACAAGTAGTCAATATTTTTCTTGAGCTATAACATCGATCATCATTCCAATCTCCATTTTTATAATGTACAACCTCTTTTATACCAGACTCTACTATAACTTTAGCACACACATTGCATGGATATGAAGTGACATATAGTGTATATCCTCTAACTGATGGTTTACCAACAATTGCTCTGTATTCAGCATGTGTATCTATAATTACAATTATTAAATAAATGTATTTGTGATGATAATTATTATATTGGTTCAACTGCTCAAAATATCAGTTGGTTTATTATGCAAAAACTTACAGAATTCTGGTATTTTTGTTAGTGTTAAATCATGTCGTTCTTTTGCTAATCTTTTAACTTCATCTTCTATACCATCAGGCTCACCACTGTATGTAACAGCCATTATTTGATTGTCTGGTGATGCTATACATGCTCCTACCTGTAATGAAAGATTACCTTATAATTAATCTGATGACAATCTATTTCACAAATAATTGTGGCACTTTTTATAGTTACGACAATCTTTAATCATTCAAGATTTAGTTTGATGTATAGTTGTCTTGTACGAATTGATTTGTAGTTGTGAATAAGGTTATAACTTACTGCTTTGTTTTTAAAGTCTCCTGGTCTTTCTTGGCTAAGTTTTGCCATACTCATAAAGAACTTTTCCCATGATGCTGGTTCAATTTTCCTGTCTACACTTGGCTCTTCTTCACCTGACTGTTCTTCACTAGACTTATTTTTACCTCCTACATCAATTCTATTTTGTAATTCTTTTACATATTCACAAACTTTCAAACTAGCTTCTGGTAATTTCCTTAAAAGAAAGGAGTACAGTATATTTAATAATTATCATACCTGAGTTTAACTCCTTTAATGTCAAAGAAAACATCTGCTATTTTCATTCCAACTTCTAGGTTTTTGTCTCTTTTGTACATGCAGTACACAACTTTTTTTATCCCAGCTGTTACAATAGCACGAGCACAGTCATCATCAGGATGTAGTGTTGTATATAATGTGCATCCTTTGATGCTCTCTTTTGTTTTGTTAAGGATAGCATTAACTGCTGCATGAACAACTAGTAGATAAAAATTTAAAGACAAGTTTCAATTCTTTTGTTGTACCATAGGCATATTTTAATTCAGGATTTGCAGCATTTTCTTGTGGATCTAAAGAACTTGTTTTCTTTGTTGAACTTGTTCCTTTCCAAGTAAAATTTTCATCTTTTGGCATAGAATTATATCCAATCCCAACTATTTGTTCATTTTCACTGTCAACAATACATGCACCAACCTGTTATGGTATGTATAATTTGTAGGATTAATTATTATTAGCTTACTGGTGTCCTGGGGTCTTTGCTTCTTAAAGCAGCTAAACAGGCTATCTTCATGTAATATTCATCCCAATCTATTTGTTTTGCTGAGTCATCTACTGGTAGTTCTTCTATCCCAGCCATTTTTTGAGTTGTAATTGATCCTTAGTTTAGCTCCACTGCTTCTCTATTTTGTATGAAAAAAGATTTTATTTTATTGCCATAAGTGTCTCACTGATAAAGCCACTATTTACGGCTTCTTTGTAACATTTCAAAATTGTGTACTGTTTACTTAGCTGCACACAAAGTAGAGTTAATTTAGATTTTAAATCTAATTGAGTATTGTAAAATAAACCATCCCATTAATTAATTTTTTTTAATCCTTGATTCTTTTGTTAAATTAATACATAAATATGGCATACAGTGCTATCAAACACTTTCTTTGTACATGTAAGTAAAACCATCTATATCCTTATATATTTTTACTGATTCAATATACCGTATTTGCCATATATTTTTCAGGTATAAAACTTCGCGATTTGGCTGCATTTTTGTATTTGCAAATAAAAAATTTTGCAATTTTAATATAATTATCACACCCACTATACAATCAGGACGCTATTTCACGGATTTTAATTTTGCAAATTTTTCCAAAACACGAAAATTGCGAAATTTAATCCCTGTGAAATATATGGCATATATGGTACTGTCCTTATTTATACAGTGTGGCCTAATATTAAATATTGTATACACTATACATTACCTTTCTTTACTGGAGTAGCTTATACTGACTGTTAGTAGTCTTCTCTTCTCTTATCTTGTACTCCCTCTAGTCTGTTCTCTCAATAAACACTAGTGAGTAGCTTATTATATACAATTATGAAGATGCACTTGTACGTGTACTATTGATCATGCGATGCTAACAGTATTCATAACACATTACCATATATGGTCATAAGTATTTTGAATTTCAAATGTGTATTGAGTATGCCAAATGTGTATTGAGTATGCCAACTGTACATAGTGACTGTAGTATTGATGAGTAGTAGTAGTAGTAGTAGTAGTAGGAGTCAACTTGTGTGTTGACAATATTAATGTGTTTATTTTATTTGTTGTTCTTTTAATGTTATTTTGTTGGTTTAAGTAATAGTATTACGTGTAACTAACATGTACATGTAGTATGTACTCCAGTGTGAGACATTAATGAAATAAACTGTCTTCCTTTACTGAAGTAGCTTCCTATTAAATGCCTCTTCCTAGTAAACATGTTTTTATATTTTTGCTCCTTATACCGTATAGTAGGTTTTTTTAAGGGTAATAAATTTCGCGAATTTCGCAGATTTTTCAAGATTCACGAAATTAAATTCCTTGAAAATCAATTTAATACAGTAAAAGATGGCAGATTAGTCAAAATTCACGAAAATTAATTCCGTGAACTTCTGGATACAGGTCATTCGCAAAATTTATTATCCTCGAAAAAGACCCGCTATATGGTATGCTACATGTAGTTCAAGATTAATTAAGGGTGAAGCTGGTCAATAATTGTTGTGGGTGTATGGTTGTAGATAGCTACATGTACATGTATGTAAAACATTTGAGCTGATTCTAACTTGAAATCTTTGAGTTATGAGCGAATAGGCTAATTTTGGAAAAATTCCCTGTACTATAGCCCGTGCTTTTTTTCTAAAAATGGCTCCAAATCATCCCTAATTTTTATTACATTTTTTGATGCACATTAATGTCTTTATGCTATGTGGGAAGTTTGAGCTGATTCTGACTTGTTTTAAATTTTTTTATTAATTTTATTTATTTTCTATTCTTATATTCCTTCAATAAAAATGCTAAAAATTGATTTTTTATGTATTGATGATTGTGTGTATAATCACTGGTTGCAATAAAGAACTAGTACAATCACTTCCTACAAGTTAAAACTGATTAATTTTGACCTTGACATTAATGTTTCTCCTATTGTTCTTCTTGAATATTACATGTATAATTTGTTAATTTGTTTTTATAATTGTTAATTCATTTTTAGTTACTATTCTACTCGTATACTAACCTCTTTTGTCCTAGTAGTTAATTGTCTCACTATTTCTTGTTTCAGTTTTATACAGGGCCTAATATTAAATATTGTATAAACTGTAAATTACCTTTCTTCAATAAAGTATAGCTTATACTGACTGTTAGTAGTCTTCTCTTCTCTTATCTTGTACTCCCTCTAGTCTGATCTCTCAATCAACACTAGTGAGTAGCTTATTATAATTTAACACTAATAACTATTAATACTAATACTAGTCTACAAATAATGCTACTAACACTACATGTAGTAATACTAATATAATAATAATGTTTTGTAACATTATGATTCACTATTTCACTACTGCACATCAGTTATTGTTATCTTTCCAATGTAAGTACGGCCTGGTCCTTCAATAGCAATACTGCGACTTGCTTCATCTTGACTCTCATTTCTGCTGTCTCCATTCCCATATATTCTATCAAAGAAGCTTATTAAAATCACATACAATGAAACCAACCTTATGTTTGAAGGACCTAAACAAGTAGTTAATATTTTTCTTGAGCTGTAGTATTGACTATCATTCCAATCTCCATTTTTATAATATACTACTTCTTTAATACCAGACTCTACTATAACTTTAGCACACACATTGCATGGATATGAGGTGACATATAGTGTACATCCTCTAACTGATGGTCTACCAACAATTGCTCTGTATTCAGCATGTGTATCTATAATTACAATCATTAAATAAATGTATTTGTGATGATAATGATTATATTGGTTCAACTGCTCAAAATTGTTACCAGTTGGTTTATTATGCGAAAACTTACAGAATTCTGGTATTTTTGTTAGTGTTAAACTATGTTTTTCTTCTGCTCTTTTTTTAACTTCAACTTCTATACCTTCAGGTTCACCACTGTATTCTACAGCCATTATTTGTTTGTTTGGTGATGCTATACATGCTCCTACCTACATGTGTATGTATCAAGTATAACAAAAACAGTGACCAAAATGTACATTTGAACTATATACATGTATAGTGGTGGGTAAGGCTATTACTTACTGCTTTGTTTTTAAAGTCTCCTGGTCTTTTTTGGCTAAGTTTTGCCATTCTCATAAAGAACTTTTCCTGTGATATAGTTGTTGCTGGTTCAGTTTTCCTGCCTGCACTTGGCTCTTTTTTAACTGGCTCTTTTTTACCTACATCAATTCTATTTTGTAATTCTTTTACATATTTATCATCTGTCAAATTAGTATCCGATAATTTCCTTAAAAAGAATGAGATTTTACATAGTACAGTATATTTAATTATCATACCTGAGTTTTTAACTTTTTTAATGTCAAAAATAACATCTGCTATTTTCATTCCATCATCTAGGTTTTTGTCTCTTTTATACATGCAGTACACAACTTCTTTTATCCCAGCTGTTACAATAGCACGAGCACAGTCATCATCAGGATGCAGTGTTGTGTATAATGTGCATCCTTCAATGCTCTCTTTTGTTTTGTTAAGGATAGCATTAACTGCTGCATGAACAACTAGTAGATAAAAATTTAAAGACAGGTTTTCAAATTTTTTATTGTACCATAGGCATATTTATATTCAGAATTTCTTTGTCGATCTGAAAAACTTGTTTCCTTTGTTGAACTTAGTCCTTCCCAAGTAAAATCTTTATCTTTTGGCATAGAATTATAACCAATCCCAACTATTTGTCCATTTTTTCTGTCAACAATGCATGCACCAACCTGTTATGATATGTATAATAGGATTAATTATTATTAGCTTACTGGTGTTCTGGGGTCTTTGCTTCTTAAAGCAGCTAAACAGGCTATCTTCATGTAATATTCATCCCATTCTCTTTGTTTTGCTGAGTCATCTACTGGTGGTTGTTCTTCTATCCCAGCCATTTTCTGAGTTGTAATTGATCCTTAGTTTAGCTCCACTGTTTCTCTATTTTGTATGAAAAAAGATTTTATTTTATTTCCACGAATGTCACACTGATAAAATCACCATTTTTGGCTTATTTGTGACATTTCAAAATTGTGTACTATTTACTTAGCAGCACACAAAATAGAGTTTATTTTAAATTTAATTCAATATTGCGAAAGGAACCATCTCATTGATTTTTTGATTCTTGTTTTTTTTGTTAAATTGGTATACTTAAATATAGCATATGGTTCTATCAAGCACTTTTTATGTACATGTAAGTAAAACTATATCCTTATATATTTTTACTTATTCAATATACTGTCCTTGTCTATACAGTGTCTAATATTAAATGTTGTATACACTATACATTACCTTTCTTTACTGGAGTAGCTTATACTGACTGTTAGTAGTCTTCTCTTCTCTTCTCTTGTACTCCCTCTAGTCTGATCTCTCAGTAAACACTAGTGGGTAGCTTATTATATACAATTATGAAGATGTACATACTAGTGATCACGCAATACTAACAGTATTAATGCCACATTTCCATATATGGCTACAAATATCTTGAATTTCGAATGTTTATTGTGTATGCCAACTGTAAATAGTTGATAAGTAGGAGTCAACTTGTGTGTTGACAATATTTGTGTGCATGTTTATTTAATTCTTTTAGCGTAGCTCCCTATAGCCTCAACTTGTTTTCATCTTTTTGCTCCTCATATGTAATTGCAATCTCTTACTTATAAATCAAATTAACTTTCCAATGGAGGTTTGTGTGTTAATGACATTTATGCTCACCAGCCAATGATAGAACTCAACTAATTTTAAAGGATGTTGCATTGTATCCTAACTATCCTTGTAATGAGTGTGCTAAGTTGATCATACAGTCTGGTATCACTGAGATATTATACGTCAGTGATAAATGTCATGATACTGATCACATGATTGCTAGCTGGAAACTACTGGATATGGCTAAAGTTGAGTTAGTAGTCTCATAACTACATGGGTTCTGGAAACACTACTGTATATAGATTACAATGAAGCACATGATAATATTCTCCAACATCTTTATCATCACCATTATTATTATTATTATTAATATTATTACCTGATCTGTTTAGCTTCTTTAATTCTGGTTTTACAACTAATAACTATTATTTAAAGCCAATTCTTATTTCTGAGCTCTGTTTTTGTTTTTGTTTTCTTCTCTACTTATATTTAAGGAAAGAGTTATGCTATAATGCATGCATGTATGCATGTAATATATGCCAGCTAGTCTTGCATAGTCAGACCAACACAGAAGTGCGTCTGCACGGCTATGCAAACATGCCAGCAGGTTATTTTATCCTGTAACCCTAGATATACACACCTTTCTCTATATGGCAGTGGTATGAATTTTTCAAATGTACATGTAGGAGTAGTGCTTAGTTGGTACAATTTGTGTAAACACACTGTTATTGTTGTTTGTAGCAGCAATTGCCTCAGTGCTCTTTGGTGTCCTATAATACAATTCTGTTATGAGCAGATTAAAATTTTGGTTTCAAACCATATGCTTAGTATCAATCTTATAGTTTACCTACATTGTAATACTTGTTCTTACAATTTAATTTAAGCTTCACTATATTATTTTTGAAACACCATATGTACAGTGTAGTTCTTTTTTGAGAAAAAAGTCATACCTCAATGTCCTTATACTATGCATATGTTTGAGTCGATTCGGCCAATTGAAATTTTGAGCTATGAGCATTCAAAAAGCTTTTAAAATTCTAAAACTAAATCAATGATAAATTTTATGATTTATAGGTTAGCTATTTGGAATCCTGACAGAGTGGTGTGTAGCTGATTTAAACTACTCATTAAGTAATGTTTGTACACACTAGTAGTTATACATTGTGTGTATGTGCTGTACTGAAATGACTTCTGTTATGATATGTTATCAAAGCAATGTATCTATAGTGGGCTATTTGGAACTCTTATTAGTGGCTAAAATATCCATAGAAGGGAATTATGCATGGGGTGGTTTAGGAGGGAGACAGAGGAAAAGGAGAGCTTGTGTCAGTTGTGTGTGTATATGAAATAGTATACTACTGTATAGCCTCTCTTCTTTATAGTGGATGCCTCTATTCAATGGACAGTGTATCAATTACATTCCTTACTGTATACCTCCACATAAAGGTGTGTCATGCTGAATTAAATGCTATCCTTAATAAGAACTCAGCTGATGTTAAAGGATGTACTATATATGTTGCATTGTTCCCTTGTAATGAGTATGATCATACAGTCTGGTATCACTGAGATATTATATGTCAGTGATAAATATCATGATACTGATCACATGATTGCTAGCAGGAAACTACTGGATATGGCTAAAGTTAGATACAGGTTAGTAGAAATATAAATTATAATTACTATATCACTATAATAAAAAATTGAACAATCACTTCTATAAAATGTCTATAAAACCTAAATTGTAATATTACTTTTATTAAGATCAGTCAATCAGGTCCTATTATTAGGTAGCATTGTTACTCAATTTAAAACTTTTGGTAACCTTATATTGCTTTTGGCCTTATTTTGCTTTTACCGTCAAGACACTCTTTTAGTATTTTTTTAGCACCTGGATCTATATGAGGTTTACCATACACTATTTCACTGATCCCAGATTGTGCTATAAGTTTAGCACACACATTGCATGGATATGAAGTGACATATAGTGTACATCCTCTAACTGATGGTCCTCCTATTATTGCCTTGTATTCAGCATGGGCAACTATAAAAAAGGAATATGTAGTAAATGTACCGGTACATGTATATAGCCTTTTAAAACACTCACTATATTCTTTATCATATTCAATGATCTCTCCAAGTTCCATATCTTCAGGGTATCCACTGTATCCAACTGCCATTACTTGGTTGCTTGGTGACACTATGCATGCTCCTGTCTGAAATATATGTTTTTGCTATTTGCATATTTATAGCTCTTACTCTTAGTCTTAATCCTGCTGTGTCAAATAGTCCCGGCCTTTCTCTTGACAGTTTTGCTATTTCCATGAAGAAATCTTCCCATGTGAGAGCATTTTTGTATGGCTCATCATCATTAGGCTGTGGCTCATGTATTCTGCTTTGAAGTCCTTTAACCACTTCATTTCCAGTAAATTTATCTGAAGCTGACTCTCCCAGGTTTCTACAATTCGAAAAAATTATCATTGATGCTAAAATAATGTAGCTTAATTAGGATTGATTTACTGCTATTTTATTTTTTATACTTTAGTTCGATGTTGTTGCTTTTTAAAAATGCCTCTGCTGTCATCATACCGGTATTTCTTGTTTCTCTTTCCTGTGTTCTTTTGTATATACAGTAAACTACTTCTTTTATTCCGGCTTGTTGTATTGCACGAGCACAGTCTTCATCAGGTTTTAGTGTTACATATATTGTGCAACCATCAAGTTTATCTCTGGTCCTGTTTGTAATAGCATTGACTGCTGCATGAACAGCTAAAAATTAGAATAATAATAATTATGTTATTGTAGTTGTACTAGACTACCAAAAGGATATTTGAGTTCTGTATTTTTGTCTTTGTTGTTTTTCTCTTCTTTGCTTGCATTCTCTGATAATCCTTTCCATGGGAATATTTTGTCATTGTTACTTCTTCCTTTGACACAAGGCATTGAGTTATATCCAATCCCAACAATTTGATAAGATTCAGTATCAGCAATACAAACACCAACCTGGGAATAATAATCATTATTTATGAGGTAACTATCAGCTTACTGGTGTCCTGGGATCTTTGCTTCTTAAAGCAGCTAAACAGGCTATCTTCATGTAATATTCATCCCATTGTTGTCTCCAGTCTCTTTGAAATAATTTTGTTTCGTCTAGTATTTCTTTTACTTCAGCCTCTTTTACTGATGATGGATTTTTTTGTAATTTTTGTATTGTGTTACAAGCCTTTTCTTTTAACTCCTTTGCTTCTCCTACTTTTTCTTTTAATATTTTAAACCTTTCTTTTTTATTTTCTTGATCTCTATCTAGCTTTTTTATTGCTTTTTGTATGCTTTCCATCTCTGCCATTATTTTCTTGAACTCATAATCCATTTCCTCTTCAACTTTTTCCATTTGTTTGATATATTCTGATGTTTTCTCCCAATTTTTTTTCATTTCAGTTATTTCTCTTTCCATTTCACTTGCAGTAACTACATGTAGATAATGTACATGTACCATATGGATAATAGGATCTGTTGATGAAGAATTAAATTTAGCTAGTTGAAAATGCCAAATTTAAACTCAAAACATTAGTTGCCAGGTGATAACTAAGAGATGGATGGATTCACCAAAATTTAACCTGCTAACCTACCAATTTAATCAGCTCTGCCAAAAGTTTTTTCACCACCAATAAATCCCACTATATGTGTTATAAATTATACAGTATTATGTGGCTCTGTGCTGACATTTATTTTTTATTCAATAGTCAATTTATTCCTTCAATAAAGACACTAACAATTGATTTCTCATCTATTGATGATTGTGTGTATAATCACTGGACACAATAAAGGACTAGTACAATGAATGCCATACACTTTCTATGTAAGTTAAAACTAATTAACTTTGACCTTGACATTAACATGTATTGTATTATGTATGTTATGTTAATTTATTGTTTTATTAATTGTTGGTTTTACTTATTCATTTCTTATTCTCATACACTAACTGCCTTGTCTTAGTAGTTAATTGTCTTACTATTTCTTTCATTATTTTGTCCACTTTCTGATGTTTCTTCCGTTTCAATTTCTCTGCTATCTTCCTCTGCCATAACTAGATCAGAATAAATTAAGTCTCAAATGACTTTTCCTTGCTGTTGGTAGCTGTACATAATAACACAATTTATGGATGCACAGGGAAATTTTTTGACATAATTTTTTGTAATTTCTATATTCATTCTAATTCAATAAGTAGTATACCCCATTCAAAAGATTTAATCACTGGTCATGATAAATATCTATCAACACTTTCTACATGTATTTAAGCCTCATTACTGTTAATGTGTATTGCATGTAATGTTATTATTTTTGTGAATTTGTTTCTTTTTTGTTTGTAATAAGTTACTATACACTAACTAGTAGTTAATTATCTCACTATTTCTTGTTACAGTTCTAATATTAAATATTATATAAACTGTAAATTACCTTTCTTTAATGAAGTATGGCTTATACTGACTGTTAGTAGTCTTCTCTTCTCTTATCTTGTACTCCCTCTAGTCTGATCTCTCAATCAACACTAGTGGGTAGCTTATCTAAATACTTGCATGTAGACACAGTGCGTCTAAACGCACTACAAGTGCATCTAAACGCACTGGTATGGTTATGCAATACTAACAGTATTCATAACACATTCCATATATAGTCTTCATAAGTTTTTTGAATTTTGAATGTACTGCATGTATATCAACTGTACATAGTGACAGTGGTATTGATGGGTAGGAGTCAACTTGTGTGTGTGCAGGGACGATGTTAGTATCTTTATTTAATTTGTTATTCCTTGTTGATGCTAGACAATTGCAGTTCATACACAATGCAAAGTACTGCAGTGACTCTTGTTTATCTGTTTATTATGATTATGAATATTTAATTATTATTCATTAGTAATTAATTAATAGTTAGTGCCACACACCTTAATTATTATTCATGACACTTGCCATCTCACTATATTATTTAATACTATTACTAATAACTATTAATACTAATACTAATACTAGTTATGAGTAGTACAAATGATGCTACTAACAGTAATACTAATACTAATATAATAATAATGTATTGTAATACTATTGTTATCTTTCCAATGTAAGTACGGCCTGGTTCTTCAATAGCAATACTGCAGCTTGCTTCATCTTGACTCTCATTTTTACTGCCTCCATTCCCATATTTTCTATCAAAGAAGCTTATTAAAACCACATACAATGAGACCAACCTTATGTTTGAAGGACCTAAACAAGTAGTTAATATTTTTCTTGAGCTGTAACATCGATCATCATTCCAATCTCCATTTTTATAATGTACCACCTCTTTTATACCAGACTCTACTATAACTTTAGCACACACATTGCATGGATATGAAGTGACATATAGTGTACATCCTCTAACTGATCTACCAACAATTGCTCTGTATTCAGCATGTACAACTATAAATTATTGCATAATGAAGCACCATGGTGCATGGACTCGCCTGCTGAGATTCACCTGAGGGATAATGTGTTACTTGTACTGCCCCCATCATGATATTATATATACAAGCAACTTGATATTTGAAAAAAGGATAATAGATTTTGACAAAGTGCAAAGTGCAACAATGCAATTACTGCACTGATCCATAAAATAAATTTTAGGTGTGGTCAGCACTTAGCAGTGCAGTGCAAACATGGCACGTGGGTAGGAGAAAGAAGAAAAGCTGAAATTTATTTTAGCATCTGAAGCTCTATTCAAAGAAAGAGTAAGCACAAAAAATTTGCCTAGATACCGTATAGCCAAAAAATTTCGTGAGGAATAAATTTTCGTATTTTCGTGATTACTGCTTGCATCACGAAAAATTAAACCCCCGAAAATAAATATTAATTGAGAGGCGTGGTTAACCACGCCTTAGACTAATAAACGTGCCCTCGTGTCAAGTCGTGTTCTCGGTCAAGCTGATGTCTCTGTTACTCTGTATTGCTATTTTAAGCATACTGCCTAGGTCAAAGATGATCTTCCCCATCTCTGGTGTCCACACTGATTTGTAGACATGGTGCCCCTTGACACAAGAGTCCGTCTCAAACCATGTTTTAATTAAATAAGGCGTGGTCATTATTATTATTATTATTAAAATAAAATCACGAAAATATTTATCACGGAATTTAAAATTTCTCCATAAATTTCATTATTCACGAAATTTTAAGCCTCGAAAATTTTTGGCTATACGGTATTTAAAAGAGACTGAGATAGTTTGGTTGCTCCTGTTTTTCCCAGTGCTGCCTGAAAATTTTTTGAAGAGGCTAAATCACAAACTTTGAGCAACTGTAACTCGCAAACAAAAAAGAGATTAGAAAATTCCCACATATTTTTTAATCTATGTACTTTTCTCTACCTATCAATGCTAATCTTGACCAAATAGAGTGAAACACAAAGATTTGGCTAGGAAAAGTGGTACATTCTTGAAAATATTCGGCTTTTGCTACCACAGATTGCTATGAAAACACAACGGAGCTAAATAAATTATCTTTTTCTCAAAGCTTAAAAAGAATTATAACTCAGGAGAGCTCAGTAAAAAAGATATTGACTAGGAATTAACAGGAATTTTCGTGACAGAATGACAACCCAACTGCATAGTACCCGCCTACGCAAGCGTGGCGAGTCCAATTAATGTATTACCTTAAGGTTACTTTTAAATGCGGGTACTATTAATTGCGAATTTTGCGTTTGGGTTAAAAATCGCAATTATTAATACGCGCAATATTAATAATGACATCATAATGCCATATAACTATTAGTAATAATTACTTAATCGCAATTTTTAATACCAGCAAAATCTACTTTGTGCTAAAATCGCAAAATTTAGTACCCGCAATTAAAAGTCACTCTAAGGTAATTACAATAATTAAATTACTTACAAAAGCTTGACAAATTACTCGTATCTAGCCCTTGATGTAATTCTTTTGCTTTTCTTTCAATTTCAAGTTGTATACCTTCAGATTCACCACTGTATTCCACAGCCACTATTTGTTTGTTTGGTGTTGCTATACATGCTCCTACCTATTAAGTATGATAAAAGAGTGACCAAATGTACATGTACCTTTGCATACACATAATATATTTGAACTACCTCATAGTTTGCAAGATGATTATTGGGAAGAAATTGATATTGATGATTGGTAGTTTTGAAAATCCACCATTTGTTTCAATTTGAGCATGCTCAATGGCACATGGCACAAAATCACCAATATAAAACCCACCATTATCTACAGGCAAATTCACCAAATATTACTCTCACCAATAAATCATCTTATATTTGTGATTGTAAATAAGGTTATTACTTACTGCTTTGTTTTGAAAGTCTCCTGGTCTTTTTTGGCTAAGTTTTGCCATTCTCATAAAGAATTTTTCCAGTGGTATAGCTGTTGCTGGTTCAGGTTCTCTCTCTGCATTTTCTCCCTCTTTTTTACCTTGTTCAATTCTTCTCTGTAATTCTTTCACATACTTATCATCTTTAAAATCATCATTTGGTAATTCCCTTAGAAGAAAAGACATTTCAAGTTACACTAAGATATTGAATTACCTGTGTTGAATCTTTTTTATTTCAAAAATAACTTGTGCTTTTTTCTGATCAGGATCCAGTTCATCTTTCCTTGTGTACATACAGTAAACAACTTCTTTCATTTCAGCTTGTATCATTGCATGAACACAGTCTTCATCAGGATGCAGTGTTGTGTATAATGTGCATCCTTTGATACTCTCTCTTGTCTTGTTAAGGATAGCATTAACTGCTGCATGAACAACTATAGAAAATAATTTTATTGTATCTTTCTTTATTATTGAAAGAGATTCTTTCAAAAATTTTTTTAAATACTTACCATAGGCATATTTTAATTTAGGATTTATCAAATTTATTTCACTCCGAGAACTTGCACCTTTCCAAGTAAATTCTTTATCTTTTGGCATAGAATTATAACCAATCCCAACTATTTTTCCATTTTCTCTGTCAACAATGCATGCACCAACCTGTAGCACTGTGTATTCACTCCCTTAGATTATTATTAGCTTACTGGTGTTTTAGGGTCTTTGCTTCTTAAAGCAGCTAAACAGGCAATCTTGATGTAATATTCATCCCATTGTCTTCTCCTTTTTACTTTAAACTCCTTTACTTCATCTTGTATTTTGATAGCTTCCTCTAAAGCTTTTACATGCTCTGTTTGTGATTCCAATTTCTTTTTTACATTTTGAGCTTTGTTTTTTAGATCTTTTGCTTTAGATGTATCTGTTTCTTTGTCGTTAAGTTCTTTTGCTTTGTCATATATTTCTTTTAATCTTTCTTTATTTTTAGTATATTCTGTGTCTCTCATCTTTTTTGCTTCATCTTCTATTTTTGCTAATCTTTTTTCATATCTTTCCTTTTCTTTCTTTTTTTTGTCTTCGTCATTTGTTATTTGCTTAATTTTTTCTTTGTAATCTTTTTTTTATATTCATTTTTTTACCTTCTTCTTTGTTGTCTATATTTGTCATTTGTTTTTTATGCTCTTCCTCTTGTATTTTATTGGCTTTTACCACACTTTGCATTTCTGCTATTATTTTTTTATATTCAGAATCCATTTCATCTTCCACTTGTTGCATTTGCTTGATATATTCTTCTCTTTCTTTTGACCATTGTTGTATTTCAGCTTCTATTTTTTTAATTTCTCCTGGCAGTTTATCTTCTATTTTTTGTGACATATAGCTACATGCAGAGAAATCAATTATCAAAATATTAATTTAATGTACAGTGTATGTGTTTTAAATTGTACTGTGGATCCCGCATTTATTTTTAATTCAATAGTCCTTCAATAAAAACACTTTCTCTTCTATTGATGATTGTGTGTATAATCACTGGACACAATAAACACTAGTACAATGAATATCAAACACTTTCTATGTAACTTAAAACTGATTAAAATTGACCTTGACATTAATGTGTATAGGTTATACACCAAGGTAGAAGTTTCTATGGGATTTATTAACCAAGCAACGCAGTCACAATTGCAAGGTTAATAAATGCCATAGCAACTGATACTAAGGTGTATAACCATCTTCTACCATGACATTTGGAAAACAACTACCAGCTGCAGGTAATAAGACCACGTTGACATACATACAACATATCTAACAGGCTAGGCAGTAAAAAAACAACAATCAACCAAGCTTGACAAATGGACTAATAAGAACATAAGCATGCCATAGAGTGCCAAGTTTCTAAGTGTTCCCGGGAGGTTTCTAATAGATTTAGAAACCTTTATACACATATTCTGCATTCTGATTGGTCAATTTAAATTTGGCATGGTAGAAGTATCAAACTATACATTACCTTTCTTTAATGGAGAATAATTATAGCTTATTTTAGCTTATCTTCTTTTTTCTTATCACTCTTTAGCCCCTAGAGTCACTATATAAACAGCCTGCAGCCACCTGCCACCCGTACTTTTGTACTAGTATACTGTACTGATCTGATCTGAGGTTTCTCTGCCTCCGCCCCTAGTTAGTAGTTACTGTCTACTATAGCTATGCACTAGTGGTGGGCGATATATCGATATTTTATCGATACAAACGATATTTTACGGTATCGAATCGTATCGGTATCGAAATTTCAAAGGAATCCGGGTCGATACGTTGACCACGCCCATTTATTAAGGTTAAATAATATAAATAACGAAAATTTAATAAGTTAATGACGCATAATCCACACACGTGGATACACGTGCGTGAAAACATTGATGAAAACAGTCAATAATAAGGGGTGTGACTCCATAGGTGTGGTCTAAATATCGTATCGAAACTGTATCGATACTCCCGATATGAGCTGATATCGATCGGTATCGTATCGAATCCATTTTGGCCAGTATCGCCCACCACTACTATGCACATGTATAATAATGTCAGTAAATACTAGTTACATCTAAACTGCATGTTGTAACATGTGCAGAGTAGGTAGTGACAGAAATATTGATGAGCAGAAAGGTGAAATGTATGACTTTGTGTTATTGTTGTCATAATGTTATGTTGTTATTAACCGAGCAGTCATAAAATTAATTTTGCCATAGAAACTGATACCAAGTTCTACCATGCATATACATTTGAAAACAACTACCAGATGCTGATAATAAGACCACAGTTGACACACATACGACATATCCAATAGTTAGCAGGCTAGGCAAATTAGAAAAAACATTACTAGATATTGATTTTTCAGTTTTGTTTAACAAAATGGTTACAAACTATTTGGCATTCAACT